TGACGGACGTGTGGTGGAGGAGAGCTAGACTGCGCCAAAAACCGCAATTGGGGGCAAACCTTGCCCCCAAAAACCAAACCGCAATGGTTGCGGTTTTTAAAACCAAAAACCAAACCAAACCATAAACCATTGCGGTTCCCTATTGGGGAACCATCAAAAACCATTTTTACATAAAATTACATAAAACTGCATAATAACTAGTTATAAACTAGTTAAAATAGCTTAGTAATTAAGATATAGCCAATAAATATCGATAGAATATTATCCACGTGATATTTTAGCCCCGCTTTAAAAACCATTGGGGCCCCAAGAACCATTGCGGTTTCTAACCTAGAAACCAAAAACCATTGCGGTTTCTAGAATTGGCCCCAAAAACCCCCCCAATTGCGGTTTGGTTTTTTGCGGTTTTGCGGTTTTGCGGTTTTTGGCGCAGTCTAAGGAGAGCAGCTAATCGGACTAACCAGTTGGGGCCTGTTTGTATGGAAGCTCTCTACAAAACAGTAGACACCACCTCCATAGTTTATTCCTTCTTCACTTTCGTTGTCTCGTTGAATGCACCTGGTTCCTTCCCAGTTGGTTCTCTTCTATCATCGTAACATGGTAAAACTTCAGAGAAAGGTCATCCTATAGATATTAGAACAAGCGACACGATCAGGCAGAGAATGTATTGATCCATTATTCAGCACTAGCGATAGTAGAAACTTCAGTAATCCTAGTAAACGTAGTTTGAGTAACTGTTGCCCAACACCTAGGGGTAACATTCAATATTTGAAAGGCTCCAAGCAAAGGGAAGCTGTCCTAGTCCGATGAAAAAAATAGGTTATCACCGTCAGCAGGTCGTCAGCTGTTTCTCTAGATAGTCATATCGAAGATTGATTATGCAACATCAATATGGTATGTTATATGGAAAATTTCCCAGTCGCCTCGGAATCAGACGGCCGTTGTGACGGTCACCTGATATGGAAGTTGTAATGCATATCTACTGTACTTGTCAGGATAGATGCCTGTCGATTAGGTAAAGATTCGATGGCGACAAGGTAGGGGTGTGACGCATGACTAACATAAGGGACTGGTGGAGCTGAGGCCCTGGAGGACATGTGACCGGACTAACCGGATGGGGCCCGTTTGCATGGGCGCTCTCTACAGATAGTTGACAGCTCCCTCCGTAGTTTCTTCCTTCTTCACTTTTGTTGCTTCGTCGAATGCACCTGTTTCTTCACAGTTGGCTCCTGCGTAACAAGGGGAACACAATTGACTGAATTAGGTTCAGAACTGAATCTTGACACATTCAGACTAAAAGGGAGCGGGGCATAGTCTTTTGTTAGAAGAGAATGATACAGGAGTGATGATAAAGGATGATGTAACCATCCATGGCGCGAACACTTTCCCATGACAGGGTGAACAAGGTAATCATTTATAGAAGGTTCCGGCCTGTAGGCTGTAGTATTTAAAAGCGGGCCTATCTCTCTCTCTTTACTTTCTCAGATCCGATATCTTCGTTAAATGGACGCTTCTTTTTCATGACTTACCAAGTGTAACATTACATATAGCTTATTGCTATAAGATTATATGCTCAGCCTTTAGAGATGGCTTTAGCGATGGGGATAGAACAATAGCCTTCTAAAAAAGAAGACTGATCTTAATAGAGCTATAAAATTAAAATCTAAAAGAACATATAAATGATGAAGGACAAGGTAAATTAGGTTATTTTCAATATAACCTTCCCACTGGATTTCTCTAAAAGACTGCCAACTAGAGCAACGCTCCAAGGGAGACACAGGGTAATCCAGCACCAATCAAATCTCCATTCTATTATGTTATTATTAGCAAAGAAAACACAACATCCGATAAAAAAAAGATAGTAATTAGCTGACTAACCGCGCTAGAAGGGGGAGTTCTGGCAGCAGGCAATATTCTGCTGGCACTTCTTCTTAAGAAGATCCTGGACACCTATGATTCCAAAGAGAGCAGTCACTATGAAATATTAATTATACTGCCAAATAGTATTGGATATATTTACCAACCTTGCACATCAACTTGGGAGCACTGATCGAAGAGACCAAGACCTGTGGCCCCAGAGCCGGTACCGACCAGGTTACTGAGGGTGCCAGCCAGAATTTTAGAGTTGACATCCGTGGTATCGCCCGCCCAGGTTGCATGATTGCAGCAGGAGAGCTGTGCCTGGTCGCCACACTTGGCCTGCGCCTGCTTCACCGTCATGCTGTCGGGGACAGGGAAGCGCATAGCGACATTGCCCTTGTTCGCAACACCATTGGCATTACCTACACCGCCAGCGCTTGGTGGCAACGCAGCAACTCCAGTCGCGAGCACAAAAAGAGGGACACCGAAGAAGCGCATATTGACGGTCGGGCAGAAAGAGATCAATAAAATTCAAGAGGAGCACAGTCAAAGATTTCCGAGAAGATGTGAATGAATAATAGTTTCGCCTGGTTAGCAGTCAGGTCTTATGTAGGCGCCTCTAAGTATTCGACCTAACATTCCTAGGGAGCAGAATGCCCCTTCTATCTATCCCCTCATTCTCAGCGCACTCAGGATCCGCTAGCGCGAGTAATGAAAATATGCAGTTACTGTTCCCGGCTGGCTGACCTATTGCCAAGCAAACCCCGTATATTGGCATCTGATCTAAATGCACACATCACTCTTGGATAGGGGCTGATGGCCTCCTTGCTATGCTTCCACAGCTTTCCCAATTTTGAATACCTTCCGCCGGTAAGAGTGGGCCCTCCCGGCGCCTACCAACGTTCCAGATTCTGAATCTTGCTAACAGCCCCGTGTTGTTGCCGAGAAAAGGGGCGACAATAATCTCGAACTCGACTTGGACACGGCGCGTTTCTTTCCATCCCGGGGGCGTTCCGTATACTACCGCCGCTGCGGTGATAAGCTAGAAGTCTATGCCTACATAGCAGGTGCGAGCGCTAAAAGGAATAGTCTGTAGGTCAGCTGCCGCAGAGCGTCTGATTTAATGTACGGCGCAATGGAGTGCCTACGGAGAATGTCCAGTAGCGTAACAGTCACATGATACGCAAGGTTCCCAGTGTCGTCCCAATATACTGTCAGCACATGAAGGGATAACTTACCGCTAGCAACTGATTGGTTGCTGATGGGCCCACATTTGGTTAGTATTTCATATGTGATGAGGGTGCAGCATAGCAATGCAGGCTTTGTAATAGCTAAGTAACAGAGACACAGCGAGTAGCGGTGTGTCTCATGGGGTATTTTTAACAGCGCTTCTCCCCCCATTTTTCTACAGAATCAATCAATGTTATTCATCTATATTGGTTCCGCTTGATATCATTCATCGTCTTTGCATACTAGGCTATATAGTATCAGCTTGCACTGATATACATATACTTGTGTTACTGCATATACTGTAACGTACTTCCCGCTCACGCCGCCCACCCCAAAACAAATAGTATAGTCAGCGTTCATTAGTAACTTATCTGGAACATGCTACATGCCCCACTTGTATTTCTGCCAGTGGGCGGAAGTACTGTGTTTAAATACTAATGAGCGGCCACTGTAAATGCGAAGAATGATAATCTCGTTTCTCAACAACCACATCTTGTTTAGAGACAATATCAGAGTATCATATTCAAGTAGGGATTCTAATACACTAGTACATCTTAGAGAAATCAGTATTTGTCAAAATTGATGTTCAAGTCTTGAATTCTTACGAAATGCGTGTCTTCCAATATGAAGCTATTCCCACCATAGGGTCACGTGGCATGGCATTTGACGTACCGATTCCCTCCCGATACCCATCGATAACCCTCTATCCCACCTGGGTATCCTCCGGACTACTTTACTCCGGAGAGGTGGTATATGTAATGACCATATGATATGGAAGGTTCCGGCGGCGTGTAGGGTAAGACGGAGAGCTCACCTCTTTCTCTTTCTCTTCTTTTCCTTCCTCAGATTCGATATTTTCGTTGAATAGACTCTTCTCCTCGGTGACTTGGCACGTGTAACATTATTTTCATTCCCAGGTTTCTATAATTTCGTTAACTGGACCCTTCTTTGTGTAACAAGTGGCACGTACTAAAGCCGGAGAGCGATTTGTTTCCAAACTCCCCAGGGCGTCGAAGGTTCATATGATGTCCTTGCCACAGCATCTACTGGCACTGGCATATACTCTTAATTAAAAAAGATTTAATTTTCTTCTTCAAATAGCGCTTCGAGGGGGCGCTATTCCTCTTCTGTCGTTCGAGACCCACCGCGATTCGAAATCACAACGTGCTGATATATGTTTTTCTATTCGGAAAATGGAGATGCACAGAGAATGATGGGATTATTGGCGTGCCTCAGACCATAGCCATGTCCAGGTCGTAAGGTGGACGGACCGAGGCGCAACATTCCGTGAGCTCTCAGAAGGGAAATAAGCAAAAAGATAATAACCTAAATGACGCCCTCGCCCACTCTGCCATTTATTATTTTTCTCCCGAATTAATACCGCGGCCTGGTCAACTCTTCAGTTTGGTCCCACATTGTCCACCCTCTTGCCTGGCCCTGCCGTGGCCAAGATGCTCGCCTTTACTCTCCTGTGTTTAGCTACATTTGCCGGCGCTTATCCGGCGTGCATGAGTTCGCCTGCTAGCACTTACCCAGATCCCAGCCCTTGCATGGGTGACTGTGGACGCATGATCCCTCGATGATTCAGCGCAAATTCGATGGCATGTACTTCCACTTTTCCGCTGGAACGGGGGTCAACACCATGATCCCTCGCCCTCTCTGAAGGGTCCATGGGCGGATGTGGGTACAGCGCTACCAAATGGCTCGAAAATTCAGCTTGACGGTGTCGATAACAAGAACATTTGGGTATGCTAATCGGACCCAAATTCAACAATTAGATATTTTTATGCAGAAAACTGATAAAAAAAGGCTCTGGATCTGCACTACGCGGATGGGAGCTACTATATGTACTACGTGGTGTCTAAGTTCGGCACGCAGACTTCGGAATTGGCGTGGCTACCTCCACAATCATGGAGCCGGGGTCATGGACTGATCATGGCGCGATTGGCCTGCCCGCCAACACCGCCTACAACCGGATCGACCCAAATTGGATTACCATTGAGGGCAAGCAGTACCTACAATTCCGCTCATACTGGCAGGGTATTTATTAAGTCGAGCTTGCTAGCCCGCTGAAGATCAGCTCTGTAATTCCGCACCCGCTGGCTTACAATGCCAGGCTAAATCACCGCGAGGAGGCCTCGTTCATGGTTCAGCACCGAAATTACTACAATGTCCTGTTTAGTGGCGGTATTGCTAGCTCGTACACGGCGAATTACCCAGCTGCAGGTGAGGAATACCGGATCCATATGTGCCACTCGACAAGTGGAACCGGGGCGTTTGTAAGCGCTCTTTGCTACAATGTGCAGAACTAAGGCGGCTAATACCGATTTTTGTACAGGTTGACAAGGCTAGTACGTTGTGCCTGAAATCTGGCGGCACTATTTTATTGGCGAGCCATGAACAGGTTTACGCCCCCGGTGGACAGGAAGTGGCGTATATAACTCTCCTGCCCACCTATCAGATTTACGCTACATGGACAGCTTGTTAACAAGACCTCGTAGGGGTATTATCAATGATAAGGACCTCGGTCTTATCCTGTACTACTAGTACTATCCGCTCGCAGCGAAGGAGGGTGGTGGTGATGGCAACGACAGCTAGATGTACGGTGGAACGAGCTGGGCTGGGGAACGACTGGCCGTACGTAAAGGAGACTGGTGGTGATGGCAACAACGGCTCTATATACTGCGGGAACGAGCTGAGCTCCGAGGACGACTGGGCGTGCGTGAAGGTCACCTGAGCGCGACCACGCTGGGGGCGTGGGGTTTGTTTCTTCTCCATCCAAAGGCGTACGTATACCCAGACTGATTACGGTGTCACTATTGCCCCACTTTTCCCTTCTATCTATGATTGGGATGGCATATTTGACCCGACTTCCTCAGTACCAGAGTCTATTTGTTAGATACCTATGCATGCCAATGGCCCCTTGCTAACGCAGGATTATTTGATATATTTGAAACAGGTATAATAAGGCGCAAGGCCCAAGATGCAAGTACGAATTTCCACACCACTCGGCCCGTGGGGTGTCATGTCAGTGAAAGGCCATAATGAACACATTTTGTCGTCCACACTCTATTTAGTCGGTATAATATGAGTAGTGTGAGCATCCTGTATGCGAGATACTTCGCAAATAGACGTGAAAGACACATGACATGGAACGTCCCAGCCCATTGTAGTAAACAGAGAGCTCGCCTTTCTTTCTCTTGTTTTCCTTCCTCGGAATCATTCTGTATGTTGAATAGACTCTTCTTTTTGATGACTTGCCAAGGATAAGACAATCTGTCAGATCGAGTTTGGTTTGTGGGATTTAAATGTATCTCAAGTTTGTGTCCTAAGTTGACCCGCAAGACAAGTCTTCAATACTTGCAGAACTGGGATTTGGATAAACCGTCGTATGATGTTCAAGGCTAGCATAAAAACAGTATACCTGCCAGCTTAGGGATGGAACTAGTACTTTTATGTCTACCGCCTGAAAGAAAGTCTGACTCTGAAAAAGTGAGATTAAAGTCTAAAAGAACATATAAATGATCAAGAATGAGGTAGAATTTGGTGATTTTCAATATAACCTTCCCACTGGATTTCTCTAAAAGACTGCCAACTAGAGCAACGCTCCAAGGGAGACACAGGGCAATCCAGCACCAATCAAATCTCCATTCTATTATGTTATTATTAGCAAAGAAAACACAACATCCGATAAAAAAGATAGTAATTAGCTGACTAACCGCGCTAGAGGGGGAGTTCTGGCAGCAGGCGATATTCTGCTGGCATTTCTTCTTGATCAGATCTTGGATGCCCAAGATTCCGGCGAGAATAGGCACTGCAATATATCAATCATATTGTCAAACAGGATTCCTTTTCTTTAACTCACCTTGAACGTCCAGTTGGGAGCACTCGTCGAAGAGACCAAGACCTGTAGCCCCAGAGCCGGTACCGACCAGGTTACTGAGGGTGCCAGCCAGAATTTTAGAGTTGACATCCGTGGTATCGCCCGCCCAGGTTGCATGATTGCAGCAGGAGAGCTGTGCCTGGTCGCCACACTTGGCCTGCGCCTGCTTCACCGTCATGCTGTCGGGGACAGGGAAGCGCATAGCGACATTGCCCTTGTTCGCAACACCATTGGCATTACCTACACCGCCAGCGCTTGGTGGCAACGCAGCAACTCCAGTCGCGAGCACAAAAAGAGGGACACCGAAGAAGCGCATATTGACGGTCGGGCAGAAAGAGATCAATTAAAATCCAAGAGGAGCACAGTCAAGGTTTTCCTAGACGAAGTGAATAATAGATTCAAATGGATAGTACTGAGGTCTTATGTACGCGCCTCTAAGATTTCAACCTAACATTCCTGGGGAGAAGAATGCTCCTTCTATCTATCCCCTCATTCCCTCTGGCCCACTCATAGTGCTCAGAAGAAATTAACTATGAAGATCATAATAAGGTCACATATTTGCTCCATCAATATCTGGTAAGTCGAATAACAAGTTATGTTTATCATATCCTGAGTACATACATGAAGCACTGCTACCAGCTACAGTATATTCATTTGCATTGGAACGAAGGAACAGGAGTAAGGGGGGTTACGAACTGTAGCCCTGCGCGGCGCTGACTTAACGCTGCCAACAAACATCAGAAAGACTAAGACACATAACCAGCTCTTTGCCTAGCCTCCCACTTATTGGTGGCTGATTCGATTCCTGATTATGTATTTTTTCCTTCTTGTAGTCGCTTTCCCTCTCTCTCGTGCGGACTTTTCTTTTTGATCCGCTATCGTTCCTGGTCCATATTATACTTCGTAAAACATCAAGAAGAAGAATTCATTCAATAAAGATGTTAAATCTAAGGAACCAAATCAAGAGGAAAGGAGATCAGCTCTCGGTTTACTGCGACAGGCTGCAGCCTTCTGTACGACATGACTGTCGTAAGGACAACGACAACAGCTTTCAAATTAGAAGCTAGGAAAGGAAAATAGATGCTTATACTGCCTAGTGAGAAATTTAGACCAATAGTCGACCCCATACCCCAATTTTTCAACCGCGGGGCTCTTATTAGATCAAGGCTCCGAGAGCCACACAAGGCAGTCCTAAGCCAATCAAGTTTCCATTCTGTCATCTTGTAGTTAGTACATAATCCAGATACAAGGATGAATTTACTAACCGCACTCGAGGGGGAGTTCTGGCAGCAAGCGATGTTCTGCTGACACTCCTTCTTGACTAGGTCTTGGATAGCTGCGAGGCCGACAAGAAGAGGAACTAAAAGCGGTTAATTTAATGTCAAAACAACTGCTATTGTACTTACGTTGTACGTCAAGTTGAGAGCACTCGTCGAAGAGACCAAGGCCATTAGCCCCAGAGCCGGTCCCGACGAGGTGACTCAGAGTGCCAGCCAGTATACCATCGTTGACGTCGGTGGTATCGCCCGCCCAGGTTGCCTTGTTACAGCAGGAGAGCTGTGCCTGGTCACCACACTTGGCCTGCGCCTGCTTCACCGTCATGCTTTCGGGGACAGGGAAGCGCGTAGCGACATTGCCCTTATTTGCAACACCATTGGCGTTACCTACACCGCCAGCGCTTGGCGGCAGCGCAGCAACTCCAGTCGCGAGCACAAAAAGAGGGACACCGAAGAAGCGCATATTGACGGTCGGGCAGAAGGAGATTGATAGAAATCAAACAGGAACACAGAGCAAGCCTCTCCTACAAGAGAAAAATGGGTTATAATAGGTAGTTTTCAGGTCTTATCCAGGCGCCTCTAGGTATTCGACCTAACATTCCTAAGGAGCAGAGTGCCCCTTCTGTCTATCCCCTCATTCTCTTGGGCCCACTGGCACTGGTCAGGAGAAATCAGTATTGAAGATCATAACAAGATCACATATTTGCTCTGTCGATCGCTGGTAATTGAAATAGACAGTTATGTTTATCATTTCCTTAGTGTATACCAACCAATTTCCTAGGCATTCTCAACTCTGCCTTCGAGTAACCATACAGTCAGCGTTCACTAGTACTGTATTCGGAACATTGTACAGCACATGCCCCACTCATATTTCCGCTGGCGTGCGGAAGTACTGTGTTTGAACGGCCACTGTATGTAGGTATATCGTAAAACGTTGGATGTGCATAGCCTAGTATGCATTCAAGACGATTACGACCAAGCGGAATCAAAATCAGGATGAAAAGATTGATTGATTGACGGAAGAAAACCGGGGGGGAGCGGGTGTTAAGTATTGTACTGTACATAGCCCCGTAGAGGCGGGTCGTTGCCCGTATGATCAATACTCGGCGATCCTACAGTACAGTACAGTAATGCTGATATTTGTTACACTTGGCAAGTCACCAAGAAGAGGAGTCCATTCAACGAAGATATTGAATCTGAGGAAGGAAAGGAAGAGGAAGAGAAAGGGAGATGCGCTCCTTTTACTACTACACATCGGAACCTTCCATGTCGAGGGCTTCAATATTGTGTCACATGCAAAATGGGTATGGTGTGCCAAACAGTATTTAATTATATTCAACGCTCTATCCGTAGAATATATGCAGGTACCGGAGATATAGGTATATCTATCACCAAAAGCCAGGGATAGCCCAGTATGCAAAATATGAGGAGCATTTAGGTGAAAGTGATGGAAATCCAAAACTTGAATTTTGTTACAATGATAGCAAAGAGCCAACTGGAAAGGAACCAGGTGCATTCAACGAAACAACAAAAGTGAAGAAGGAAGAAACTATGGAGGTGGTGTCTACTGTTTTGTAGAGAGCTTCCATACCAACAGGCTCCATCTGGTTAGTCCGATCAACTGCTCTCCTCCACCACACGTCCGTCAGGTGATCTCCAAGTCCATCTCATGTCATGCGTCACAGGTTTGAATAAAAACAGCTAAAGATGAGCTTGACCGAAATAAGTGTGAAGAGAAGATTGGCAGGGTTGAACAGGACCTTTAGGTTGAAACTTCAGCTCCGTTCGTGGTGCCTTGGGAACAGTCCTCTTCTCCAATGGACACTATTTGACAATGTTGTTGGGAAGTATCATAGAATATAGTGCTCGATATACCCGGTGCTCTATTGCCGGTAGAGGATTCCCGGGCCCTCCGTAGGGCAGTGGGGATCGGAAACAAACAGCGCAAACGGCAAGGCGTGATGGGGAAGCGTCAGGGTCATCGGCAGTGCTGACTCACCCCGGTCATCGGAGGGAGGGTCCTCGGCCGATCGGCCGATGCACGAGCGACACATTGTGCTCTTCCCTGGCATTACATTGCAGCCGTGCAAGATGTTCCGTCAAAGCATCCGACGCTTTGGCACTACAGCACTTCGTGCTGCTGCCACCGAGCCCTCCTCCTACACCACCCGGGTGTCCACGGCGCAGGGCATCGTCAATGGACTGACGGAAGGTATGTCAAGTTCCGATGCGGTTCCGTGCACCCAGCCTAGGCTGACCTGGCAACCGTCGCCCAGCAATCGGAAACACCCCTTTGATTCGGTTAAAACGACTCTCTGACGAAACCGGGTGCAATGTTCTCGGCAAGGCCGAATTCCAGAACCCGGGCGGAAGTGTGAAGGATCGGGCGGCGCTCTTCGTGGTGGAGGACGCCGAAAAAAAGGGACTACTGCGCCCCGGCGGCACCGTGGTGGAGGGGACTGCCGGTAACACGGGCATCGGCCTGGCCCATGTGTGCCGATCCAAGGGCTACAAGCTGGTCATCTACATGCCCAACACGCAGTCGCAGGGCAAGATCGATCTGCTCCGCCTGCTGGGTGCGGAGGTGTACCCGGTCCCCGCAGTGGCATTCGACAACCCCGACAACTACAACCACCAGGCGCGCCGCCACGCCGAGTCGCTCGACAATGCGGTGTGGACCAATCAATTCGACAACACCGCCAATCGCCAAGCGCATATCGAGACGACTGGTCCGGAAATCTGGGCGCAGACCGGCGGCAAGATCGATGCGTTCACCTGTGCGACCGGTACTGGTGGCACCCTGGCCGGTATCACTCGCTACCTCAAGACCGCCAGTGACGGCCGCGTGCAGAGCTTCTTGGCCGACCCGCCCGGCAGTGTCCTGCACAGTTACATTCAGAGTGGCGGTAAGCTGACCGACCGCTCCGGTGGAAGCATCACCGAGGGGATTGGCCAGGGCCGCGTGACAGACAACCTTCGGCCGGATCTGGACCTGCTGGATGGCTCATTACACATCGCCGACGAGAAGACCATCGAGATGGTCTACCGCTGCTTAGATGAGGAGGGTCTCTACCTCGGTGCGAGCTCCGCATTGAACGTGGTGGCGGCGAAGGAAGTCGCGGAGAAGCTGGGCAAGGGCCACACCGTAGTGACTGTCCTTTGCGATGGCGCGTACCGATACGCCGACCGGCTGTTCTCCAACGCGTGGCTGCAGACCAAGAACCTGCGGGGGGCGATCCCCAAGCACCTGGAGAAGTACATAGTGCTGCCTTGATCATCAGTATAGAGATGGACGAGATGTGAACAGATTTGTAATCCCCAATCCAGCTATCTTCCCCTTTCATGCTTCTGCGGTGTATCTAGCAGGACTGCACGTCCGTGTTCAGCTCCCAACTCCAAAGCTCACCTCCAATCGCAGCACGCGCGTGGATTTACTCCGTCCTCAGCTACGAGTACTTCCATCTACCAACAGGCTCTAATGGATGGCCAGCACTGCTGTGTCAAAGGTTAAGAATAATCATCAAATATGCTGGACTCAGTGGCAGCGATGGATCGGGCCGACTGGGATGTGCCCGGTCCGGTCATGCCACGACGTAGGAAGAGATAGTACAGGTTACACAATTGTGGCCCTGCAGAAATGCAGACAAAACGGACGAAGAAAACATTCATGGTCTGGTATCAGGATCATCAAAATGGGCGACTAACCCCGTTCAAACAGTCTCAATGTACCGTCGCACCTCCCTAGAAAGCATCGTGTCAGCCCCGGCCCAGTGGCGTAAGTCAGAAAGGAAAGAAAGAGTTGTACGGGGTGCAGCCATCACCACACACACTTACCAATCAGTCACGGCCTCCTCCCACAAGCGGACCTCATGTTCTCGCGTCCCGCCAAAGTGGTCCACAAAGGAATTCCCAAACACCTCACGCGCAACACTGTCCGGCCGCGTGAACGTGGCCACGGCCTCCTTCAGCGACTTGGCCAACCGCACGCCCTGGTCGCTAGCTCCACCCATGTCCTCGCCCTTGGACAGCGGAGGGACGGGAATCTCCAGCTTCTTCTCCACTCCCCGCCACCCCAGGGCCATGATGGCCGCGAGGACGAAGTGCGGGTTGGCATCCGCGCCCGGGACCCGGACTTCCAAGCGGGTGGCCTTTGCGCTGGCGGTCGGCGGCGTAATCAAGCGGATGGATGCCGCGCGGTGCTCGAGGCCCCATGAGACGGTAACCGGTGCCCAAAAGTTCTCGACAAGACGCTTGTAGGAGTTGATGGTCGGGGCCAAGAGGGGCATGATGTCCGGCAAGCCCACCAGCAGACCCGCCAGGAAGTGCCGACCAAGATCTGACAGGTGTGCGACGTCCGGGTAGGGCGGGGAGGGATCGGGTGTATCGCGGATGAAGGCGTTCTTCCCATCTGCGGTGACGAGGGAGATGTGCATGTGGCCGCTGTTGCCGGGAAGTCCATGGCGCGGCTTGGCCATGAAGCATGGCGTGATCCCGTGCTTGATGCCGTAGGCCTTGACGACGTATCTGCGTGGACATGGAGTGGTTAGCCCGAATGCCCCTTGGAAAGTCCAACTTTCACGCCCCTCCGAGAAATCTCACTTGAACAAGCCTGCCTTATCGGCCATTTCCTTGGCCTCGCCGAATTGCAATGCCTGTCACACCCCCCCCCCCCAAGTTAGCCCCTGCGCCACCATCGCAAACGAATGAAGCACTCACAGCCTCAAAGACACCCGGTCCACTCTCTGTATGCCACCCCTCAATGTCGCAGCGGAACTGCTCGCAGGCATCAAAGATGCCGTAATAATACTCCTGGTTATGAAGCGGACGGGTAATGGAGTACCCGAACATCCCCTCTGTTATGGATGGCAAGGCATCGACCGGGTGTGTCCGCAGGAATGGCGCGGTGGCGGATGCTGCGCGTTCGGGGCTGGGGTCATCGCTTGGGGCACGGAACTGGTAGAACTCATACTCCGCTGCAAGACGTCAGTTTGCCATCCGCGGTTCTTATGCAGCGACCTGTTGGCACCCGGACATACCTCCTGCCATTGCGCGATAGCCCGCAGCCTCGGCTTTCGCCGCCGCTTGCGTCAACAGCCCGCGCGGACACGCGCAGACTGGCTCGCGCGTGTCTGGGTCCAAAAAGCTGAGCAGGAAGAAGGGCACATTGTTCTCCCAGGGAATGCGCCGGAAACTGCTGAGATCTGGCACTGCGACCAGATCGCGATACCCGTTCTCCTTGTTGCTGATGGCCAGCTCCCGGTAGTACGTCATGTCATGCTGATCCCAGCCAAAAATGACCGAGCAGAAGCCAAACCCCTCGGACACGATGGACAGGAACTTGGTCTTCTTCATGAGCTTGCCGCGCAGCTGGCCGTCCACGTCGATGCCAGCCACCTTGACCATGCGGTCGTTCTGAAGGACTTCTGCAACATTTGCGGCGGTGACGTCGGAGACCGACATGGCGGGGGAGAGGAAGGGCAGGAGAGACAGGAGCGGGCGTTGGAGATGCTGACCGGTTCAGCAGGAGGAGCCAGGAGCAGCGGAGGTATGGAAAGTATGGAACGGGGAACTTGGAGGAGGGGCAGGTGAGCAACGCCCTGGGCGCAGGCTTATCAGTGACTCGGGGCTGCCATTCGCGGTCCTGGCTAGCCGACGCGCGATACCGTCCGATCGCCGCAATCGCAGGCGACTCCACCGCGCGGTCCGCGCTGCCCCACCGCGCGGTCCCGGCTTAGCTAACCCCGACTCGAGCTCCCCCGCGTATACAGCTCGCTCGTCCGCTCTTCACCTTCACTTTCTCCTCCCGCTGAATCTGCTCAACCTGCTCAGTCTGCTGCTCGACCAAGACGTTTGTACAGTGAGTTTCGCCTACTTCGGAATGCCGAATTCCTTGTGGCGCGCGCGCTCTCCAACCTCTCCAACGAGCATGATGCGCCATCACTGCTCTCGGCCTCCGCATCTCAACTAGACGAACCAGCGGGTTGCTAACACAGAAGCCGGACAGAGTACTCCTTCATCCTCCACCATGTCTGCTCCCAAGGGTCGTCTCCAGGGCAAGAATGCCATCATCACCGGTGCCGCCGGGTAGGACCACCCATCCGCCACCCTCCGTCACCTTGCTCCTCCCACAAGCGTCGCTAACCCCACCCGGCCTAGTGGCATCGGCCTCGAAACCACCATTCTGTTCGCCCGCGAAGGCGCCAACGTCCTGCTCGCCGATATCTCCGAGCCCGCCCTGGCCAAGGCCCTAGCCAAGGTCAAGGAAGTCGTCCCGACCGCGGCGCGTCTCGAGACCATCCGTTGCGATGTGTCGAAGGAGGCCGATGTGCAGGCAATGGTGGAATCGCAGGACAGCTGGGGCGGCGTGGATGTGATCTTCAACAACGCCGGAATCATGCACGCGGATGACGCCGACGCCGTCGACACCCCCGAGAAGATCTGGGACCTGACCCAGAGCATCAACGTTAAGGGTGTGTGGTTCGGCTGCAAGCACGCAGTGCTGAGCATGCGCCGCAATAACAAGAAGTCCGGCAGCGTGATCAACACGGCGAGCTTTGTCGCGCTGATGGGTGCTGCCACGCCTCAGCTGGCGTACACAGCGAGCAAGGGTGCGGTCCTGGCCATGACTCGCGAGTTGGCCATTGTGCATGCCCGCGAGGGCTTCCGCTTCAATGCGCTCTGTCCGGGCCCCCTCAAGTATATTCCTCCCCCGTCAGACCCATCAGGGTGACGTTCACATCGGCTAATCGCTTTATTAGCACCCCCTCCTCCTGCAGGACTGGCTGGGCGACGACCAGGCCAAGCGCTTCCGCCGCGAGGTGCATTTCCCCAGCGGCCGCTTCGGCGAAGCGGTTGAGCAAGCACACGCTGTGGTGTTCCTGGCCAGCGACGAGAGCAGCTTCGTCAACGGTACCGACTTCGTGGTGGACGGTGGTCTCAGCAAGGTGAGTGAGGAATCTCCAAGGGGAGGGGAGACGGAGGGTGCAAGGGTCCAGTCGTGGTGCTAATACAAGTTGTTTAGGCGTACGTGACCGCGGAAGGCCCCGCACCGGCTGCGCCTCAGAACTTCGGCCACTAGAGGCGCCTCCTTCATGACATGAATTTTCTTGCGTTGGGCTTGTATGATTTCACGTGGTTACTGGCTCCTCGTGGGGCCATTTCTTCCACAGTTTCAGCTTTTTTTTCGGTAGACAATGATACTCCAAATTCCATGGCAGGCTTGGACCACCAACAATCGTAGGCATACCTCGCAATCCATGCGCACTCGAACACAGCGATCGACCTGTAACTAAGTATTGGTGCTCCACGAACACTCGCCATCGGCATCCATGTCGTACACCAGGAACTAGTTTCTGAACCCCTGGTCGAAGCACGCTAGGCTGGCCGGGGCACTTTTGATGCTGGGGCTGCTACGCCGACCTGGAAGGTCTATTAGACCGCTTTCAGCATATATGCAGCTATATAGAGATAATAATGTCTGCCGGGTTTGCGTATCTGGGCTGCGACCGCTCTTATGAGGGCGCTCCATCTCTGGTTCAGTGATCAGCCTCATCATGTGATCGATTATTAATGCGCAGTGAGTGCTCAGGCGCCCTACTGTGCCCAGCTAGCCCAGCTGCCCAGCGCTTGCTCGTTGTCCAGTCAGCAGGGACCCAGCCTCGTTCGGCCCACTATACCCTATACCGAAAAAGACCGCCCATAGGGCCCTTTACTCTGTGAAGGCTAGGGCGTTGATGGTGCTTGTTGTGACGGTCACATGACATGCAAGGCCCTGGGACCTGTAGTAGCGAAAAGAGAGCTCATCTCTCTTTCTCTTGTTTTCCTTCCTCAGATTCGATATCTTCGTTGAATGGACTCTTCTTGATGACTTCTTAAGTGTAATAATAGCGACAATATCATTATAGAAGGTTTAGAGCCACACCCAATTTACTAATCGTAAACTCATTTCTACAATTTTGAATAGTGGTAGCCTAGCGGTTGCCCAACCTCCTAGATACCTTACTTTATTCAGCAAGCCTCATGAGCCTTGTGTTGCAAATTTCTTGAGCAAATGGAACTATTCGACTACTTGAGAGACAAAGCGTTTCAAAATATACAAATAATTGTTCCTGGACACCAGGGATCTAGATAACGAGAGACGCCTTATGCTTGAAAAGAGAGCCAAGTAGAATGGAGAAACTATTTGAAAAAAGGCCAGATAAGATAAAATAGCGAAGTTCAAGATAATGAAACAGCACGGCGAAAGTACAGCCCATACCTCTTGCGAGCGCCGAGATTGAGACTAAGGCGGCATCTGAGATTTAGATACCAGCCTTCAAACAGCAGCCTCAGACTTAGGAGGCCACTTGACACGCTTGTGAGCACGAACGTACAAGTTGTTCGGGCGAATAAGCTGGAACATTGGATCGTATTCAATGGGTCCGTCACCCTCACGAACAAACTTGTAGTTGTAGATCAGCTTCGGGAGGAAGACCTTGATCTCCTGGAGCGCAAAGTTGAAGCCGATGCACATGCGGGAGCCAATACCGAATGGTACGTAGGCGGCCTTATGTCTGTTCTTGACCTCCGGGGTGTCCCAACGGTCGGGGTCGAACTTGTAGGGGTTGTCCCAGAGCTCGGGATTGTTGTGAATATGGTGAATAGCAGGAATAATAACTCCATCCTTAGGAATCCTATAACTCCCAGGAAGGATAAGGTCGGTCTTTGCGGTACGTCCAGGTTGGAAGGATGGGTTATGTCTGCGTTGCATCTCCTTGATATACTTGTCTTGGAAGACCAGACGCTCAGTGAAATCGGCAGTAATCTGTGTCTCGTCGTTGAAATCGTTATCGATAAGTTCCTGAAGAAGTCTCTCCTGCATACCCGGGTAGGTAACCAGGCCATAGATGAGCCACGAAAGCAGAGAACTCGTTGTTGTGAAGCCAGCGGCAGTCGCGACAACAAGAGCCCAGACGAGACTTTCCTTCGGCAACTTCTCACCCTTATTGTCAGTAGCACGGATGGCATAGTCTAAATTTAACGAATTATTAGTCTTCAATCATGAGTAATAGAGAGATATAGAGATACTAACCGACCATGTTTGATGCCTTCAATGCGGCATCTTGCAGAGGGAGGTCATCTGCTCCACCTCTAGCGGCATTCTGGATAGACTGCTCGACCATACCCTCAATACGGCCTTTGACTTCCTTCAGGCGCTTAGGGTCACCAAACGGCAGACTGCTATACCAGTCACCCTTAGAAGTGACCTTTTTATTCAAAGAGAGCATCTCAGCAATCAGGTGAACCATGTCGTGAACAGGTGCGTCAGGCGAAACAAAATGCTTGAAGTCCAAGCCAGGAGTAAGCTTTCCAACAGCCTGAGAACCGAGCTTTAGCATATACTGGTAGACATTCCAAGCTTCACCCTACTCATCTAGCTTATCGAAGATTTTGCAGGCATCTTCGACGGTCGTTTGCATAGTCGGTGCGTAGTGTCGAACAGCCTTAGGACCCAGTGCGGGAGGCAGGAACTTATGGGCCACTCTCCATTCAGGAGTATCGGTGTCACCCAGGAAGATACCGGCAGAGGGTGTCTTCAGGGCGTAAAGGGGGTGGGCTTTGTTGATCTCTTTGGTAAAAAAAGTCGGATTCTGAGAAGGCAATGGCGGCGATGTTTGGGCCATTGGTTTGGTAGGTTATCCGACCCATATTATTGGTCTGAATAACCGGACCATATTGCTCGAAAAGGCGCTGGTGATTGCCAAGGTGATCGGGATAGATCTCCAAGTAGTTACCCAAGACGGGCAGGCCCTTGGGACCCGCAGGATCGCGGACGGCATGGCCATCAATAGTAATCGATACTAATCCCTGAGCAGAGATGACATCTTGAACTTCAGCGAGTTCGGTATCTTCGATCTGGAATGCAATTCCTACTTTAGTGTCAGAGAGTGTAATTGCAAGTAGTATAATGGTGAATGTTTCCTGGCATTACATACCCTCTGGCTCGACGACAGCGAAGTGCGAGGCAATCAAGTGCTTGAGTCCGTCGAGGTCGGTGTTCGACTCGATCTCGATCTCTTTCGCGGACGTGGCGGGATTGCCGAGGAGATAAAACTTTTGTACAGGCATGATATCTTAGTGTTCGTGCAATGAACCTGAATGTTTGACTTGTATGGGTATCAGCTGGTGCGCTCCTCGGGTTTATATATATATCATTAATGACAAGAGTTTACTTCCTACACTTTCACTCACTGGTCGGATCCGCGGATCTCCGGGGAAGCCGGATGGTCATTGCCGGACTCTTTCCATTGGACGACTGGCACCTGAACTAGAGCCTTTCCGTTCTAGCCTCCGCATATGTGGACGAAGCAGTCATTGGGCCCCCGCTCGAATTGCCGAGGAGATAAAAATTTGTACAGGCATGATATGATGTCTTAGTGTTCGTGGAATGAGGCTGAAAGTTTGGCTTGTATGGGTATCACCTTGCGCCGTTGTTATATATTACAGCCAGAGTTCATTAGGATTTGTACTGAGGATGCTGAGAGAGACCCACTGTTTGTCTGCTGTTAGAATTTTTGAGCATCAATTCGCATAGGATGTCCGTGATACAGTGTGCCAGGCTTGGTATCTAATAACCTGCGCCCTTTTATCGGGAAGTACTAGGTAGAGGATAAAGGATGACAGGTGGGAAGCGTGATTGAACTTGTTGGTAAAGTAAGCAATGTATAGATAATACATGTGGGCGTAAATTAATCGCGGTGTAGGCGAGAAGTAAGTACAACAGTGCAAAATACTAATAAACGGCCACTGTACATCATTAATGACAAGAGATTTTCTTTCTACAGTTCATCGGATCCGAGTGGCGGATCTCCGGGGAAGCCGGAAGATCCTTGCCGAAAAATTTCCATTGGACGACTGGCACTTGAATTCGGCTCGACCTTTCCGTTCTAGCCTCCTCATATGTGGACTAAGCAGTAATTGGGCACACACTCAAATTGCCGAATATTCGACAAGGGTGCCGCTGCACCCGTTTAATCGACTGCTGCAGGCAGTGTTTATCTCGGTCCTTCGATTAGCATGGACTTGATTTGTTTCCCTCGGTAATTGTTTCACTTTAGCTCGCCCTAGTTGTCTAGGCCGTTCTCTCCGGGCAGGAAATTTTCGGCATCGTAGGCACAGGATATCCTCGGAGTATGATCCAAAAATATGAGCCACGAAAGCGGGATGCTATTCCATATATTAGGTGGGAATATCTTCTATGTAGAATTTTGATTTATGTCGAACAACAAATCGTCTACAATCTGACTTCCTTGTCTGATCATTTCCAACTCCAAGAAACGGTTTTGACGCAGCTTCTCCAAAAGACGACATTTGCCGTCTCCTGAAACAAAATATTGCTCTTTTTTTTTAACAAGATCTTATATAAAACTTCATCAATGGTGGCCGATCAGGTGTTCAGTGTCGCCGATGTTGCTTCCCACAACAGCAGAACTGACTTATGGGTCATAATTCACGGAAAAGGTAATATACCCAGTCAGCATGTCCATTGGAATACTGTCACCTAACTAGATATCCTAGTCTACGATCTTTCGAAATATGTGCGAGATCACCCGGGCGGAGCAGATGTTCTATACGATGTTGCTGGACTCGATGCGACCGAGGCGTATGATGAAGTCGGCCATTCAGAGGATGCTGATGAGCTCTTGGAGACCTGTTTGATTGGCACGGTTAAGGATGCCCACGAGATCAAAGCCCCCAAGAAGGTTGTTCGGCTAGTCCCGCAAACTGCTCCGAAGGAAGCCACTAAAGCAGCGGGTTCATCAACAGGCGCAGTTACCTTGGTTCTCGGCGCGTGTGCTAGTGGCGCAGCGCTCTACTTTGCTTCCCAGCGTCATCCCGAACTATTGCGAAAACTTCCTCTGCCATCGCCGTCGCTACGGTCTGCACCGACTTTTACCTTGCCGCAGGGAGGGTTCTCCACCGGATTTGCTGCTGCTACCTCCGTGTGTGCCACTATTGGCGCTGTTCTTGCAGCCAAGCTTTCCAAGATCACACAGATCGAGTCTGGATTCACCAAGTATCCTCCTCATCTAAAGAGCCGACCTGTGATAAAGGCAGATCCTGGGCTTGCCCGGGGTTTCCTGCAGCCAAAGGAATACCAGGCGCTTCCCCTAATCAAGAAAGAGCACCTTTCGCCGAGCGTCTTCCGCTTTGTGTACCAACTGCCGAACGAAACCGATGTTATTGGTATTCCAATTGGCCAGCATTGCGCTATCAAAGCTAATATTGACGGAAAGGATATCGCCCGATCATACACCCCAGTCTCTAATAATACAGACCTAGGCAGGCTGGAGCTGGTTATCAAGTGCTACCCCGACGGCGCCCTAACTGGAAAGTACCTCGCCAACCTAAAGGTCGGCGATAAGACTCTCTTCCGCGGTCCTAAGGGTGCAATGAAGTACAAGAGGGGCCTCTGCAAGAAGATTGGAATGGTTGCTGGCGGCACTGGAATCACCCCTATGTACCAACTTATTCGCGCTATCTGCGAAGACGAAAACGACACAACGGAAATTAGCCTAATCCTCGGCAACCGCAGTGAAGAAGATATTCTCCTCCGAAAGGAACTCGAAGCCTTCGCGAGGAAGTATCCTAAGAACTTCAAGCTCTGGTACATGCTCGACAAGCCTCCGCAGAAGTGGGCGCATGGCAAGGGTCACGTCACCCAAGCTGTCATGGCTGCCAAGCTCCCGGCGCCTTCTCCCGACACCAAGATTATGCTCTGCGGACCTCCTGGCATGATCAAGGCTGCCCAGGCCGCTTTGGTATCCATGGGCTTCCAGGCTCCCGGATCTATTGCCAAGATGACAGATCAAATATTCCTCTTCTAGTCTATTATCTTTCCTTTCTTCGTGCACTCCTATCATTTTTCTTTCATTCATTTTGCCACTCTCTGTCTTTTGATTCTTCAGATAGATGAATTTTCTATTTTCTTTTCTCTAGGCCAATAGAAAGCTATCAAATGGGTCAAAAATCCTCCTATTGTGACGCATGACAGAACGATGGACGGAGATCACCTGATGGACGCGGAGTGATGGAAACACCCGACTAAGCTAACCCGATGGGGCCTGTTTGCATAAGCCCTCTACAAGATAGTTGCCAGAGCCTCCGTAGTTTCTTCCTTCTTCACCTTCGTTGTTTCGTGAATGCACCTGGGTACTTTTCCAGTTGGCTCTTTCCATGATCGTAACACCTATCTCGAAAGATATTTTAGATGTGTATCTGGGGAGTGTCCTAGCACAATATTAGGATGAGACTGTTACGATCATGGAAAGAGCCAACTGGAAAAGTAACCAGGTGCGTTCACGAAACAACGAAGGTGAAGAAGGAAGAAACTACGGAGGGTCTGGCAACTATCTTGTAGAGAGCTTATGCAAACAGGCCCCATTAGGTTAGCTTGGTCGGGTGTTTCCATCACTCCGCGTCCATCAGGTGATCTCCGTCCATCGTTCTGTCATGCGTCACATTGATGATGATAGAAGATCAGGGGGATTGCCTGTTGAATAGCTATCCCCTGGCTGTACGGACGTATTTCTGTCCGTGCGGCCGATACTCAGCTGTTACAAAGCCTGAGTTTCTCTGTAAGCCAGTATTACATACAAAAACATAAGAAACCTGGGCGCTTGATGAATAAGCCCGTTCTTAGTGGTAAGTTACCACTCCACATATTTCGACACACCCCCTCAGCAAGCGGCCAATTTCGCCCAATCTGCGCGTGGCCTATCTCACCTAGGTGTGCGAAGCTTCCAATAGCCGTTCAATATCCTCCAGACCCATTGAACGAACGAATTCAGTGTGTTTTTGCCTGGGCAGCAGCTTGGTAAGCCCATCGGCCACCATATCGCCCGTTGGCACCCACTGCACTGGTATTCTACCGGCCTGAACTTCCTGACGAAGCCAGTGGTGGTGGATGTCGACGTGACGAAGCTTGGTGCGCAGTTGAGGTGTTTCCTTAGTCAACAGACCGACAGTCTGCTGGTTGTCGCATCTCAAGGCGACGGGTTGACTTGGCAGGTAATTAATCGCTTCAAATAAGCGAGTCCACATGCATAGCGATCTCCCTGCCGATGAGATCGCCAATAATTCAGCTTCGGTGGTGCTGGTGGTGACGGTCGTCTGTTTGGAAGCCTTCCAATCAACCGGTCCACCATATATCATGCAGATGTATCCCTCCGAGCTCTTCCGGTCATGGTTGTCAGCGAAGGATGCATCACTGAAGATCTGCACCTCCGCTATCTCTCTGTGTGGTTCGGACGGATGCGAGGGTGCACGGTATGTGATAGCCCTGGATTTCGTCTGGTAGAGGTAGGAGATAACTCGATCGATAGCGTGGAGGTGTTCAGGCCCAGGGTTCGTCAGAAACTGAGCCAGACCTCCAGTGGCTTTAGCCACGTCTGGTCGACTGATTGTAGTAGCATATTGGGCAGACCCAACCTTCTGTTGGTATTGATGAATCTGCTCTGGTGTAGCCACACCGTTGTATGGCTTCATCGTCGTCTCGGGGAGGGGGGTATCGTACCTGCGGCTCTCGGTGAGATGATATCGGTTAGCCATTGAAGAGATGTAGGAATCTTGACATAGCCAAAGCGCCTTCTGTCGGCGATCTCTAAGGATGCGTATCCCCAAGAACCACTGCGCTTCACCCATTTCCCTCAGTTCCCATGCCTCACAGAGCTTCTTCCGCAGGTTGTCTGCGGCTGTCCGTTTCATAGGGTGGTTGACAGTGATGATATCGTCGACATAGAAGAATACAATGATTCCGTCACCGACGAAGAGACAAAGATCTTCCTGGACGACGCGGAGACCTAGGGAGGTAAGCACCCGAGAGGCCTCACGCTGCCATAGCCTAGGAGACTTCCGTAGGCCATACAGGGCCTTCATGAGCCTCCAGACTCTCTTCTTCTTCCCCTGAGGGAATAGTCCAGGAGGCAGTTCCACATAGATCTCTTCATCTAGTGGGCTGTTCAGAAATGCGTTGACGGCGTCGTGCTGATAGGTGTCTAGGTCGAATGCAGCCACCAGTGCGAAGACGGACCTCGCTGTCCGTGCTGCCAACGTTGCTGAGTATTTTTCGTCACTGCTGACGGCTTGGAGGTCTCCACGTACGCAGATTCTGGCCTTGTGCTTTACCAGGAATCCATCACTGTCGAATTTGTACGTGAAGACCCATTTCAATGGTAAGATCTGGATGCCTCGGTCTGTTGGGCGGTCGATCTCTTGGTATGTCTCTTTTCTGTCTAGCGTTTTGACTTCCAGCGATGCCGCGGCGATGAATGCATCACGGTGTGGGTGTTTCATCATCTCCAGCCAATTTGTAGGTGCAGGAGGTAAGTCGTCCTGGTGTGGCCGTTAATACGGCTGGGGAGGGTTCAAGCCAGTTGCATATGCGGCTAACACTCCGTCGTGATTTTCATCAGGGTCCTGCATCATTGCGAGATAGCCATAACCCTGCGGAGCCCTTCTCTGGCGCGTGCCCGTGACGATATTGGTCTGTGAGACCGTCCCGTCGATATCTCTGGGCGCTCTTGGTGTCATATATTCTTGGAGCTCATCCTGAAGCTGTTCATCAGGGGTCTCTTGACGAAATTCAGTTGGAAATGCCCCTGGCGGGCTCGCCTCTGGCGGTGCATCCGGTGTTGGAGATATAGAGATCTCTGCTGGCTGCGACGCTTCCTGCGTCACCGACGGTGTAGGGGATGGTGTCTGATAGACTGCCTGTCTGTCCTTCTGACCGTCCTTCTGAGTTTCTATCGTCTCTTCGGTTGACGCACTCGGCTGAGGGATATCTTGCATTGGTAGGGCGTCTTGTTCTGCGACTGTTGCTTCTTCCACGAGCCCTTCACTATGTGTATTTGGCTGACTATCTTCCTCTTCATCAAGGCCAATATTCCAAGGTAGGGTGTCGATGATATCGTCGGATGGTCCAACCTGAAGCTCTCGGGGATCAAATTTGACATTCTCATCAAATACCACGTCGCGCGCTTCCCTGACAGCTCCCCTGTGCGGAAACCAGATTCGCCATATATTGGAAGCCACATAACCGACGAGATAGCCGATCTCTGCACGATCTTCCATCTTGGCTGTCCTCGGGACGCCCTGGCGGCGTACGTACGCTCTGCAACCGTACACACGGAGGTTCGATAGGTTTAGGCGGAATTTTGGCCGATTCTGGTCTTGGTGCATCGCTTCAACGTGTGGAATGATCCATTCGCCGTTAGGTAGCCTGGTGGGCGATCTGTTGATGATATAAACCGCTGCCATGACTGCTTCTGGCCAGAGGTTTCTGGGTAGGCCTGATTCTATGAGAAGCCCTCTGGCTACTCCGATGATCACCCCCCAGATCGTTCACCGTGGCTGTTCGTTTCCGGCGTTCCAACAACGCTGTGTTCGATGATCATGCCTCTGTCTAGACAGAAATCGTCTACTGTCTTTCCGGACGCTCTCTCATGGTCGCTTTTGAACACCCGGATTGTTATTTTCAGCTGTGTCTCCAGCACGGCGATAAAGTGCATGATCGCCGATTGACAGCCGTTCTTTCTTTCGTGAGAAACTGTCGCATGCAGCCGGATACCCTCAACATACATATGAGTTATCCAGCAGTGGCCGTTGTAGGCCGTGGTAAGCTGAATGAGGTCGAAATGAATCCTTCCATATCTTCCAAAGACATGCTCTCTTGCTGCAGGTCTCCTAGATATCTGTCTCTTGGCTGTATTACGCTGACAGACCTCACATCTCTCAGGATTACACTCTGCATCATCTGTAGTGTCTCCCTTAACCTCGATACCATCGACCATCTTGGAGAGCCTCTCGATCCGTTGATCATACATGTGGGCGAGTCGTTGATGCCATCGCTTCGGTGTAGCGACGGACACAAGGGGTTTTTGGCTATGCCTGGGGTAACCCGTTGCCATCGCTAGAGGAGTGCTCTTGGGCAGTTTCTGTCTGTCTTGGGTGTTTCCCACGATGTAGAGGTTATGCCTCTTTTCTAACGCTCCAATGGGCGCTTCGTTCTTGATGATAGCGGGGATTCCACTGTGGAATTCGAAGCCTTTCTCACTGATGCGGCCGAGGGACAGCAGATTCGTATGGAAATCAGGTGCGTATAGCGCTTCCACCACTGCCTCTCGCTTCTTGCCTGTCTTTGGGTCTGTTAACCGGAGGATGGCTGTTCCTCTGCCCTTGACAACAGAGTCGCTGTCACCGGTTTCAATAGTGAATTCTTCCTCGGTGAGGCTTTCAAAGCTCCCTCGGTGGTTGCATATGTGGACGTTCGCTCCTGAGTCCAGTATCCAAGAGTCCTTAAGGGGATATCTCTTGGCCATTCGGTTGACCTGACGGGATACGTTGGCTGTATACATGGCCACTCTCCCAATCGATCCCTGTCTCTTCGGTCACTGCTAGCTGGGCAGTAGCCTGGGTAGTGCCTCCATCCTCTTTGATCTTCGCGATCTTCTCTTGGTCGAATTTGCTAAGCTTCTTGATAGCCTTCGCGACCAGTTCTTCCGTCTCGGCTCGTGGCTTCCAGTAGTCTGGCCTAATGCTTTCGACGATGTAATAGCAGAATCTCCAGGGATGGTTTCTTCCGCATACACAGGGGGTCCTTTTCTTGTCTTTCTGATGATTTTTGGTATCTTGCTGACCCTTGGTGTTTCCTTGCTCAGGTGTTGCCTCCGGTTGGCCATCCAGCGTTGACATAGCCAGCTTTCCAGCCCTTTCCTTTCCTGAACGCTCCAGCAGACTTCGTCGTGTGCGGTATGCGGATATAACCTCACCAAAGGTGGGATTCTCTGTCTCCAACCTGTCACTCCAGGTTGAACAGAAGAGATCATCCTGGACCTGGATGGCTCCGAGGAAGTCTCTGATAGCGAATTTGGCAGGCGTTGGACCGCATGAGACATCTGGTACACCCGCAGCTTTAGCTTCTTCGTACAGAGACGTCCAGGCGGTCAACCACTTGTCGATGGACATGTTATTAGACGGGTACGTCAGCATTTGACGCCACTGTCTTCGGAGGTCTTCCACACGGTCGGCTTCCTTCCATGCGAACTCCTGCCTCAGCTTCACTAACTTCTTGCGAGCAGAGATGACGCCCACAAGCATATAATGGTGCTCCGCGGCTAACGAACGGGATATAGCATCACTGAACCTGTTGAGGGCTCGGGCGGTCCTCGCTCGTTCGGCCTCTTCGCGGTCGTATCTGTTGAGAATTCGTGCATACTTCTTGTACTCATCATCGGTGAGGTCGACTTCGTCTGTCGCATTCTTGTTGATCTTGCTAACCGGCGGCAGGGGAGCCTTCTTTGGAAGCTCTTTGATCTCTGCATCTGTCTTTGCAGGGTCAAGATACTCCCAAAGGTCGTTTTCGATGGCTTTGGTTTCAAAGTGACCAATCCAGACCCTCCACTGGGCCTTCGTCCTCAACCGCTGGTCCCATGGGATAGGTTGAATTGCTTGAGATTCAGTCTCATCAGACATCTTTGTATGTGTCTTTTGCCGTGATCCTGACGGTGTCTCCTCTGGTCTGAGTCCTTGTTGATCTCTTCCAGGATTTTGCACAGTCGTTCAGGGGTATTCGGCGATAGGAAGGCTCTCACTGTCAAGATGCAGAGCAACGGTCTTCGTTGATTATATCTTGATGCTTCAGTGTGCACTCGGGCTCATAACTGACAGAATGGGCTGATTCTGTATGGGCTAGTATGAAAGATGTCCAATGGGACGAGAGATAATTGATCAGATTGATGATGATAGAAGATCAGGGGGATTGCCTGTTGAATAGCTATCCCCTGGCTGTACGGACGTATTTCTGTCCGTGCGGCCGATACTCGGCTGTTACAAAGCCTGAGTTTCTCTGTAAGCCAGTATTACATACAAAAACATAAGAAACCTGGGCGCTTGATGAATAAGCCCGTTCTTAGTGGTAAGTTACCACTCCACATATTTCGACACATAAGTTCAAATCAATCACCCTGAAAATTGAACCTCTTGGAAAGGCTGGTACGTTCTCGCGCGAGCCTGATGAAAAAACAACGTGAATCTATTTATTGGTGCAGTGCAGAGCATTAGCCAATAGGAATTCTGCTCTTACCTCGGAGCTCCCGCGGCCCGAATCATGTCGGTGAGCTGAGAGGTAATCGGCTCAACGACGGATCCGTATGTGGCGAACTTCGGCAATAACTTTGTTTGTAATCTAAATTCTCCGCGGGGTGCCATTCCAGCACTTCCCACGAGCCGCAGCCGACTTGGCTTACAAGTCGTGCTTCCGAACCTATCATGCGATGGTGGAACCGAAGGTGAATAGAGCACTTTGTATATAAGTTGGACACATCAGTTAATCATTTGATGAGCACGTCCATTAGGAATTCAATCAATTTCTCACACCAATCTGTTACTTTCTCATGCCTGCGTCGAGACATTTTTCTCGCTCGCCTTTAGTCGCACTGGCGGTATTGCTAGATCAACAGTCAGCCAGAGAGACAACGAGAATGTCACGGTCACATGACATAAAACGTTGTGGCCAGTAGTAGTAGTTAAAGGGCGCCCATCTCTCTTTCTTTTGTTTTCCTTCCTCAGATCCGAATATTTTCGTTGAATGGACTCTTCTTCTTGATGAATTGCTAAGTATACACTGAACCCATTATTGAGAGCATAACGGAATGAAGTATTTGCCTTCTATGAAAAAAGTAATGCGATTTTTTCAATCTGCAATGCTTAACCCATTTAATCTCTCCATAACTCGCCGTATCTTACTGTGATCTGGACCTAGAGCCTTCTCATAGCCTGCCAGTGCTCGCTGGTACATGTCTTTTGCCTCTTTCAGCTTCCCTTGATCTTTGAAGAGATTCCCAAGGTTTTTGACTGTATTGAGAGTGACCATATGATCTGGACCGAGGGTCTTCTCATAGCCTGTCAGTGCTCGGTAGCACATCTTCTCTGCCTCTTTTAGCATCCCCTGACCTTTGTAGAGATTACCAAGGCCGTTGATTGTCTCGAGAGTGGACGTATGATCTGGACCGAGGGCCTTCTCCGTGCCTCTCAGGGCTCGCTGGTACATCTCCTCTGCCTCCTTCAGCCGTCCCTGGTGCTTATAGAGATTCCCAAGATTGTTGACTGTGGTAAGTGTGGACGTATGATCTGGACCCAGGGCCTTGTCAAAGCCTGCCAGTGCTCGCTCGTACATCTCGTTTGCCTCTTTTAGCTTCCCCTGATTAGAGTAGAGAAGGCCAATGTTGTTGACAGTTTCAAGTGTGGACGTATGATCTGGACCAAGAGTCTTGTCCTTGCCCACTAGTGTCCGCTGGTACATCTCCTCTGCAGCCTTTAGCTTGCCCTGGTCGGAGTAGAGAAGGCCAAGGTTGTTAACTGTGTTGAGAGTGGATGTATGATCTGGACCGAGTGCTTTCTCATAGCCTGCTAGTGCTCGCTGGTATATCTCCTCTGCCACCTTTAGCTTGCCCTGATATCTGTAGAGATTCCCAAGGTTGTTGACTGTATTAAGCGTTGACGTATGATCTGGACCGAGTGCTTTCTCATAGCCTGCTAATGCTCGCTGGTACATCTCGTCTGCCGCCTTTAGCTTGCCCTGATCTCTGTAGAGATTCCCAAGGTTATTGACTGTAACGAGCGTAGACGTATGATCTGGACCTAGGGCCTTGTTATAGCCTGCCAGGGCTCGCTGGTACATCTCCCCCGCCGCCTTTAGCTTGCCCTGATTATGGTAGAGAAGGCTAAGATTATTCACGGTGGTAATAGTGGATGTATGACCTGGACCTAGCGCTTTCTCGTATCCGGCTAGGGCTCGCCGGAACATTTCCTCGGCCTCCTTTAGCTTCCCCTGATTAGAGTAGAGATTTCCAAGATTGTTGACTGTACTGAGCGTGGGCATAGGATCATTCTCATAGCCTGCCAGGGCTCGCTGGTACATCTCCTCCGCCTCCTTCAGCTTGCCCTGATCAGAGTAGAGGATACCAAGGTTGTTGACTGTCACGAGAGTAGACGTATGATTTGGACCCAGTGCTTTCTCGTAGCCTATCAGTGCTTGCTGGTACACCTCCTCTCCCTCCTTCAGCTTCCCTTGATTAGAGTAGAGACCCCCAAAACCAAGGAGTGCTCCCAATACTGTAATATTGTCGCCTGACCAATCTCTATGGCGTACAAAATTCGCGTGTGCAATAAGCCGTTGCTGGAGATCTGAATAATTTCGAGTACGTGCACTAGGGACCGTGTATCCAACGGATATCAGTGCCAGGTTATTGAGTCGGATCGAATGAACTTTGTCTGCGCTAGCAATATGCAGGCACCAGTTTTGTACCACTGGATGCATCGCATAACTTCCCCCTTGTTGCGTCGTCTCAAGAAGAGAGAATCCGATGAGAGTCTTCACGTTGATTTTGAACGTGAGTTCATTTGATGTGGCCTGTTCGAGTCATGCTGGTACATCTGGGCTATGACAGCCTCCTTTGACTAATCCATACCAGATATCTCGGTTATCGAAATGAGCAAATAGCAGTAGCAGCTCTGCAGCTTTCGGGTCCCGCTTCTGAATCTCATGGTATGAGATCGTCCACGTTTGTAGCATATTGCCTTGCTGGTACTGACGTCCAGGATTTGATTGCAGCTGTAGGTCAGACCAAGATTCTTGGTAATACTGCAAGTACTCAGTGATGTTGGTTCCGGTTTGACGCATAAAGGCCCCGGCGATGACAATTGCCAATGGCAGTCCACCTAGGCGGTCGGCAAGAGCCAAGGTATCTATATATAGTTATTATCATCAATAAGGTCTGCATATCATGCGTCTCAATACCTGGATTGCTCTGTAGCTCACTAACAGCATTTCTTTCTAACAGGTGGCTACTCTCTAAGAGCAGTCGTATTGTATCCTTCGAGTCAAGTCTGTGGACTGGGAAAGGCTTCCCTAGCTCAGTTATATCTTGAGGTCGAGAGGTAAGAAGAATAGATCCATGGTCAGCCGCAGGGAAGAATTTCCCAATATCATATGTGTCACCATCAACGTCGTCGATTGAAAAGTATTGATCGATGTTGTCGAAAATGATTAACCAGCGTGAGTTGTCCTTTAGTGCTAGCCACCTTAACACATAGTTAGCTCGTTGCTCCACTTCCTCATCATTGCTCGCCTCGGTGTTCTGTGACTGCCCCGGTAGTCGGGGTAGGATAGAGCTCAGAGATTGCAAAAGTGTGACTCGATCCTTGCCACTCAGCCAAAAGATGGCAGTGAAATCAAATTTGCGGTCTCGTGCGAAACGAATCGCTAGCTGTGTTTTTCCTATCCCCCCAAGCCCATGAAGAATCGCAACCTTGCGTGCCTGGGAAGAGTTTGGCTTTAAATACTGCCATAGCTGATCTAGCTCGTCTTGCCGTCCCAGGAAGTTTTCAATCACGGGCACAGCAGTAAGGTCTAATGGGACATCGAAGCGGTGAGCTGTATATAAGGCAATATTCAGCAATGATTCTGAACTAGATGGGAAGTGCCGTGGTTAAAGATTTAGAGTCCCTCACCAGATTCTGCTAGAGTGTTCCGTGCTGTCGGGGTGCTGGTAACTTGCTCGATTGGAATAACCAAGAGAAGCTCTTTTGCATAGGCCGCAGCCACAGCTGCCGCATAACCTTGCCATTCCTTATTCTTGTGTGAATCGGCGTAGTCACTGATACCCCTAATGACTAGGCATGGGAAGTCATTCATGAGTCCCACAGCTTCCATCTCCACACAGTATATCCTTAGGTCCCGAGCCAGCCGATCCCGTTGCCTGCCATGTTTCACTACCTGATTTGCTGATCCAATCAGTCCATAGTGGATGACTGGTTCCTTGTGATCTCTCGAAGGCCGTGGAGACAATTTGGATCGATCGCAATTGAGGCACGTATCAGTATCAGATGCGACATGCTCATATTCCACTTGAAATAGAAAATCCTCTTGGGTTGGTCGTGCGAATGTCGTAGCCTTGCGCGGCGGAATTTTGGCTTGGATGTGAGAAATGAACTCAACCACGCGGCTTTCTTCTGTGAGGTGATGTGCTTGAAGAGTAGCGAGAGCAGTTAAGAGAACCTTGGGAGGCCGGTTAAGCATCCCCATCCGCTGGAAATGACCGCTGAACGCCTTTCCAAGGTCATATTGGATCACGCCCCCCGAAGTGTCCGTCGGCTGGCTCACTACAATATCCCCAAGTCGAATATCTGCATTCCTGGTCGGTACACCCCCGCCGATGCCGACCAGGAAGCCAATTCGAATGGCAGGAAAGCTGGAAAGCAACTGCATCCCAACGGTTGCAGCTGATATAGTGCCATATGCGCCACCCGGTAACGTAGCAATCACAATATTGTGTTCCCTGATGCTTCCCAAAATATATATATTTTGATCCATCGGTAGACGAGGCAAAGGGGAGTGTATTTCGTCTAACATCAACTTCGCAGCTGCCGTCTCCACAGGCAAGGTGCATATCCATCCGACCGTGTAATCGTCATGGGATAGAGTGGATTTCGCTTCCATAATAGGCTAAGTAACATCAAGTTCTTGACATGGACCGGCTGGGTGTTTGATTTGTAGCTAATACGAAAGGAACAAAGGTGTCATAAAGCGCAGGTTGTGGAGATGAATCCCTCAGTTGGGAGAGAGCGGGGTTGAGAGGTCTGGACACGAGGGCTCAGGCAGCTCTTCTACAAACAGGGTTAGAGCAGGTTGACAGGGATCCACTACCTAATTTGGTTCCGGGCGGGTTGTCTCTTTACCGAATTTGCCAATGGGCTCGGGCTTATGAACCAGGACAGTTGAAATACTCGCCTAACACGAGCCATCGGGGTGGATCACAACGCACAGGGGCGAGTCTTTTGTCTCCGGCAGACTTGTATTTTGCTTTGCCAGACAGCGATGAGCTCTGGCACGCACCTTCAGGCTTAGCTGCCCGATTGGCAGAAGAAGCAAGCGCGTATAGCGAGGCAAATTTTAGAGAGAAGTGGATTTCTCAGACTGTGCGACTTCTGCAGCCTTGTGGTGAACGATTTAGGTGGATATAGCGGGTGCTATACCCGTAAAAACAAATACGCGAATATTGAAATCATTAAACTTCCTGTTACACTTGGCAAGTTATTAAGTAGAAGAGTCCATTCAACGAAGATATCGAATCCGAGGAACGACGGATACGAGAAAGAGGTTAATGTATTGAGCTATCTTAAGGAGGGAGGGAGGGGGGCGGAAAGAGGGGAGAGAGAGAGATCGCTCTATCCATAGTCGACACCGGGGACAGAGACCCGACCCACCAGGTAGGCCATCTCTAACACGCCTCATTATCCGAGGCAGTTCATGAAGATTGGCAAGATCATACTCCACTGCCTGGCCGCTCGCCTCGCGCTCCAAGTATCCCGGTGCATACTGCGCAATACTCCTCGACCACTGTGACCACTGTGACGCATGACATGACGATGGACATGGAGATCACCTGATGGATGTGCGGTGGAGGAGAGTAGCTGGCCGGACTAACCTGATGGGGCCTGTTTGTATGGAAGCTCTCTACAAAACTGTAGACAGCACCTCCATAGTTTCATCCTGCTTCACTTTCGTTGTTCCGTTGAATGCACCTGGTTCCTTTCCAGTTGGCTCTGTTCCATTATCGTAACACGCTCGACGCTCTTCATGGGTAAATCAACCGTAATTTTTTCTCGCTTATGTCTCTGCAGCTGGAGTAGAATTAGTAACCCGGTCAGTCCACTAACAAATAGCGGCAGGCTGGACATGAATCTTCCAATCGTAGATATCCTGGACACGACCAACAACCGAGGCGAGTTCAGGTTCGCCAATTGGGGAAACCGAGAGTCGTGGTTGTTACGATGATGGGAAAGTGCCAACTGGAAAGGAACCAGGTGCATTCAACGAAACAACGAAAGTGAAGAAGGAAGAAATTATGGAGGTGGTGTGTACTGTTTTGTGGAGAGCTTCTATACAAACAGGCCCCATCAGGTTAGTCCGGTCAGCTACTCTCCTCCACCGCACATCCATCAGGTGATCTCCATGTCCATCGTCATGTCATGCGTCACAGAGCGTATACCACTCGCTATAGTAGAAGATCGCACCTGGCGTGCAGTCGCGGTCTAGGTCGTCAGGAGTTGGGCCCGTAGACGCCTAGGATGGAGTGCGTTCCCATGTATTAGCAACTCATGTTAGCAGATATCATTATTGTCAAATGAAGTGCAAGACCTACCTAGTAGGTGGTGACCGTGATCCAAGCCCCCCGGGAGGCTGTCAGATGAGTGCGCCATTATTACCAGAGTCAAGACGATCTTCAATTGAAAATTTCATGCTGTTTGTGCAGATCGGTATTGTCCAGTTTGACTCCAGATGGTGCAGATGTAGCGAATATAAGTTGTGCAGGGCCCTAGTTTTCGTGGAAACTTTACAGAATGGACCAGGTCCATAGCATCTACTTCTTGTTTGAGATGCAGCCAAGCCGAGCACGTACGATTCTCATTCAACTGACCAACTATTCTTTTCATTGACTCATGGAGCGGAACCGGTTGAGAGCTTGCATTATTAGTTCCGGCTGCGCTGTGACTGGCTGGCATGTCGCCTTATCTCCGCTTGCTGTTCGAAATTTATAATCCATCACATGCCTAGCAGCGGGAGTGCTCTTGTAAGGCCAAGAGTTTGGATCGTCAATGTTGTGTGATATAGGTCTATAGACATCATTAGATTTTCTCATAGCCCTATATCCCTGCCGCCAGCTCAGTCTCCTATAAATCCAATGTTCGACTCTCATAATCTTCTGATTCATTATCGCTCACACCTTCCTAACAGAACCGCATCGAGCATCTGGAGAAGATTGGTGAGATTACACTTTTATCATGCACTTTATGCCCTTGGCCATGTTTTTTCTTAAGATTTCTCTTCCTTTCCCTCTTCGTCCGTTTCATTTCCATCATCATTGCCACATTTCGCAAGTTCAAGGACAACGTTCATCATCTGCTGGATCCGAGTGGTTGCACATTTTCGTACAAAGTCGAAACATAAGAGCTGGATGCATGTTCGGCGCTTGTTGTTGGGAGCGGAATCGCCAGATCACGAGGTCTTGTAACTCCCGCGAAAGAGCCTCTGGACTTTCTCTGTAGAACGTCTGACGGGCGCTAATGTTGCCTTTACGTTCGCATTCCTCGGCTAAGTCGAAAAGGGCCGTTACTCTCGCTTGATCGGCTATATCGACCACTTGTACAGGCGCATCCCCTAAGAGCCCGAATAAGCCCGACGCCGCCCCGACTCTCCGGCTCGCGTGTACCACAAATATCCGCATCACAATAACCCAGCTCGGATGTTTCTGTAAAAGTTGTAGGTCGATTATGTTACAATGCTGTAACAGTGGTAGGCGAAGCGAGCCACCACGATTTACCCACTTAGCCTGCCAAACAAGGTCTAAGAGAGGATTACCCGAGGTACAATAATGGGCTTCGTAACCGGGGAAAAAGTTTAGATGCGATAAGTCTCGCATAGGATCGATCCATTGCTCTAGCTGGTTAAAGCCTGTCCAGTCACATTCGTTAGGGACTAGAAAGTCATCAGTCTCGACAACCGGGAACCCTGCCTCGAAGACCACGGCTCGTGCCTCGCGGCACACTAGAGCGATCATAGGCCGGCATCGATTTGCGAACGATGTATGCCTCACGTCGCACGGGACCGGTTCCATCCAGTCAAAAACCTCGGCCGGGAGTGGACAGTCGAGCTCGGAAACCCGGCGTGGGAGGCATTCGCGCCAGATCGCTAGCCGTAACTCAGCCGGCAGCCGAGGGAACGGATGAAAAGTACACTCGTACGCCTCCATCACGCGCTACTTTGCCTGATTCCCGGGGACTTGGTCCTGGGTATCCTCGAATAGAAGTGATGATAGAGTAATAAGAGAAATAAAGAAGAAGAAGAAGAAGAAGAAGAAGAAGAGACTTTGATCGTCGAGATCCTCCTAACTCGGCGGCAACGAACACGTCCTAGGGTGCGATCTGGTGATCGTTTGCTGCGCGCTCGTCTGATCTTGACGAAAGCGAAGAGGATGAAGGTGGAAAGAGAGAGCAGACCGGCAGGACCCTCGAGTTTGCAGCGGCTAGGACTTAGCGCAGTTTTTAACTTTATAGAGACCTCCAGGGTGGACCTCACTGGTCCCATTACGCGCTAGGGTTCACGGAACAGATGTGTGGGACATGTTCTTGTAAGAACTTATGTCAAGACTAAATAGGGCCAGATCCTAGGCAAAATAACCACTAGACCAAAAATGCACTATAGGCAACATTCTTAGTCTATACCGTCATTTATTGCTCCGACAACTTAGAAGTGGTTCTGCCTTGGGCCCACAGACCAACTAGGCAAACATTCCACATTAGTGCCGGTGAGTAAGCAGTGGCTGAGTGATCCTCCTTGCTCGACATTCGGCCACTGGTGTCCGCAGGGGTCGTTCTCTTGACAAAGTAGCCATCCCGTGCTAAGACTGGGTCTCCATGAGAGATCCCGGCTGCACAGGCAGCCAATCGCAATCCCCAGAGCAAATAATTCAATGATATACATTCACGTGTCATGTGTTGTTAATACTCCGGCCATTCTGAGTCAACATCTTCTCGCCAAGAGCGGAATCCGCCACGGATATCCCCGATGAATCTCTGTCCATGACGGTCCAACCCCAGCTGTTTCAACTTCTGCACGGCTATTTGAGAGTCATTTCCAAGACGACAGACAACGTAGATCGGTTCATTAGACTCGGACGCAGCCAGCTCTGGAGGAACCCATGAGGGGAGTCCATTCGTGGACGGTGAAGCCAGAATTTGCGAGATGGGAATGTTGATGCTGTCTTCCAAGCTGCAAATTCCGTATTGGACCTTGTCTCGCACGTCAATGATGGTATGAGCTCTTCTGGTGGGAAGCTGATCACTTGATCCATTGGATCCGGATATCGACTGCAGGTGTCTCTCGCTATACTCTCGCGCAGATATGCGTTCATCAGGGCCGAGAAACGACGACGCATTGGCGGAGCCACAGAAGAACACGTAGTCTGTGGAACCCGAGGTGATGGTATCTAACGTCACTGATGCTTCCGCAGAGCATACTGCGCAGTTTGGCCTGCGCGAACGAATACGAATCGTACGGAATAAGGGATTGGAATATGCCGAGAAGATGTGTAGCGATTGAGAGTCTCGCACATGCGACATAGTGGCATCGCCAATCACTCCATCGCCCAGTGTGGTGATCACCTTGATCGCTTCCAAGGCCTGCAAAACACCCATGATTCCGACCACCGGCCCTAGGATGCCACCATCTGCGCAGCTAACGACACTATCCGCCGGTGGGGGTTTCGGGAAAACACAGCGATAGCATGGGCCCCCTTCTTGATCGCCAGGCGGTCGGGGGGGATTGTTCAACACCATTAGCTGTCCTTCGGTTCGAAGGGCGGACGCCGAAACCAAGGGTTTCCCCAAAAGCACCGCGGTATCCGAGATCAGGTATCGCGTCGCGGGATTATCGGTACAGTCAAGAATGATGTCATACTGTGCAAAGATCGCAGGTGCTTCGCTGGGTGTCAGGTGTGCTCGATGTGCGATGTAGTTAGGATGAGGATTCAGTCTACTCAAAGAAAGTCGCACCGTCAGCGTTGGCGCAATATCTTCCATGCCCCGAAGATCATCACCCACTCTTGTAGAGACTCAATCGCACTGTCCACTTTGTATTTGCCCACTTTCCGAGCAGAGTGCAACACTTGGCGATGTAGGTTGGAGATCTCGACGGTGTCTCCGTCAATAAGTCCAAGCGTGCCCACGCCAGCGCCAGCAAGGTACTGTGCAGCGGGACATCCAAGGCCCCCTGCACCAACCAGCAGGACTTTGGCCGAGCGCAGCTTCAGTTGGCCTGCTCGATCCGAAAGACGGCGATTGTGAGTGACCATCTCTCCGCACCTGTTGTTGACATGCCCATGCCACGGGAACCCCACTCACCTTCAAGACCAACTTGAGATACGATCATCTGTCTTCCATATCGCTTATACTCGTCCTGAAGTAGTGGCCATCGCGATGTCCGCCCATCACGGGGCTCATCATCGTTGTGCGCGGAGCTTGCGCGCTTTGAGTTTGCCGCGGAGGCCTTCTCAGCGCTGACAAGATGGCGCTTCAGCTCCGCAAGCTGTGCCTCGGTGGCTGCGATCTGCGCTCGCAGAGAGATGCATGTTTCCTCCAGATCGCCCATGAATATTGCTCTTGGACCGAACAGGAAGCAGGCGAGGGATGGATTGTCCGAAACCGCAGTCGTGAGTCGCGCGCGAGTCGCAAGTCGCAGCTTCCCCGCGGCAAATTTGCCGTTCCACGTGCCCCACCAGGGGCCGGTCCTTCCCCATGGTGAGGCCTGCGGCGCAAGGCCACTACTTTCCCACCTTGATCTTCAGCGAGCTGACCGAGCTGCCCTTGTTGACGACTTTATCGATGCTGCTGGTATTCCCGCGACAGTTGCAGCCTCTGGGATATGCCGGCAAGCGTAGGGACCTGAAATGATGTTGCATGAAGCCGAGTGGCGCAGTTGATTGCTCATGAGCCATGAGAACAGACATCAGATTTGTTGGGTAGACTGACTGGGGTCCATTTTCAAGTCGCCCAATTACAGAGGGTTCCCACATTCTTACCTGAACAGCGAATGGTCTGGATTGGAATGAACAAAGCAAGTATCAGGCATTCTGGAGGCCCTACTCCGTACAGCATGCCTTATCAGTTTATCAGCGCAACGGCCAATATCACACTGATAAGACGGCCCGCGGCGCGTCACGGGGCTGGATCACGTGGGGCTCACCCGCACTGCGTCACTGTGAGCGATAAGCTGCGATAGCCCATCCCCGTCCTCAGCTTCCCTTCATCGTCTCTCATCATGGCGCACTCTCCGCGGTCTCGGAGCCGAGCGAGGAAGGGCCCGAGCCTCAAGGGTCTCTTCCTGTCAGCTGCATTACTACCAAATGTCGTGTTGGCGCACTTTAACGACCCTGCCGTCCAAGTCCCCATTATCCCGCCACCGGTGCCTGTGGATGAGCCAAATCCGCCATCCGAAACACATGAATTTGTAAGCTATCAGGGTGGGCCTTACATTGATGACAGAGGCTTATGTATTCCAGTCACTTCGTCACATATTCCACCGAGGGACATATGATCACCCTGACCTCCTCGCGAAACTCGACGTCTACCCAGACACCCGTCTATGGACATTGTCAGAGGATGGCACAGAGCAGGAGCCTTTTGCGATATCTTCACCCCTGATCGCTTCCTCAAACCCCATCACAATACAACGCCTGGCGGATCGACGCTTGTCGGTGATTGAAGGGCACTTGGCTGCCGCAAAGTCCTCGGGCGCAGCGCCAACCTTGCCGCCGTCGGAATGGGTGATGGACACGCTTCCAGGCCCAAATGTCACAGACAAGAAGACTGTGTTGACTTTTGCGCGGATGACGGCAAACGATTATATCGAAGAACCCGGTACAGAAGACTGGGAGACCATTCACGGCAGATTCAACTACTCCAATAGCTTTGGATGGAAGAGGGATGGACTGCGAGGGCATATCTATGCCGATAAGACGAATAGCACGATTGTGATCTCTTTGAAAGGAACCTCTCCGGCTCTCTTTGATGGGGCCGGCACCACCACCAACGACAAAGTCAATGACAACCTATTCTTCGGTTGCTGCTGTGGCCAAGGTGGTTCGTATCTATGGAGGCAGGTTTGCGACTGCCAGAGCGCCACCTATACCGCCAACTTAACTTGCATCGTCGAGGCGATGAATGATGAGAACAGATACTACAAGGCTGCTATTGATCTGTACTCTAATGTCACCGAGATTTACCCGAACGCCAACGTCTGGTTGACCGGCCATTCTCTGGGCGGCGCCATGACCAGTCTGCTCGGCCTGACTTTCGGCCTCCCGGCAGTCACCTTTGAAGCAGTTCCAGAAGCGTTGCCTGCAGCTCGGCTCGGCCTTCCAAGCCCCCCAGGCCATGACCCACGCCTTCCACAGTCGCGGGACTTCACGGGAGCGTACCACTTTGGCCATACAGCGGACCCCGTTTATATGGGAACCTGCAATGGCATCAACTCTATTTGCACATGGGGTGGCTACGCGATGGAGTCAGCCTGTCACACCGGTCAGATGTGTACGTATGACACCGTGGGTGACAAGGGCTGGCGTGTTGGCCTTGGAACACATAAGATCAGGAATGTTATATCAGATGTCATCGAGGTTTATGATGATGTGCCAGCATGTGCACCGGAGGAAGAATGTTATGACTGCGTGCTGTGGAAATTTTTCAAAAGTAACGGTTCCGAAGTTACCACAACGACCACCACAACGACCACTTCTCCAACTCTCACCAGGACTGCTACCTGTAAAACCCCGGGTTGGTGGGGTTGCCTTGACGAATCGACTACTACCACCGCTACGAAAACCACGACAACCACAACCATAACCACAGCCACAACCACAACCACAACCACCACTTCAACATGCAAGACCCCTGGCTGGTTTGGCTGTAATGATCCGACGACCACAACTATTCTTGTCACGTCTACTTCGTCGACTTCTTCATGCCAGACCCCTGGTTGGTTCGGTTGTCATGACTCTACTACTACCACCACCAACATGCCAACTCCAGCACCCACAATAACAACACCACCCTTAACGAAATCGACAACCTGCCATGATCCAGGGTGGCTCGGCTGCCGGGACCCAACATCGAAGCCAACATCCGCTCATGGCTCAACACCAGCGAGCTCAACCTGTAAGATGCCTGGGATATTCTGGGGTTGCTGGGATGAACCAACACCCACTCCCTCTATCACCTCAGCACCAACCTCAACGCCTACCGCCCCACCCTCTCCTAGCTCTCGGAAATGCACCTACAAGCTCTTTTTTGGCCTCATCTGCCTCGACCGATAATCACTTGTCGGCATTGAATAATTTATTTTGGGTAATATTGGCCTATGAACTGGATGGATTCGAACGGACCATAGATCAGAAGATACGACTACACTGAGCGAGCCTTCAATTTTTTCGTTTATCTCGTTCTTTTTACATCACCTCAGAACGATTTGGATGGCGTTGCGGTTTATTTTGCGGGTTCTTGTTTCGTTATAAACATTCCATCCACATATTGCGCTCACTCGGCATCTGACAATGTCACAATTCCAGTACTAGAGCTTCTTTTTTACAGAGTTCGCCCCGACGAGTGGCTTGGTAGTCCGTTTCATGATAACATAACCATAAGTAGAAAGCCGCCGAAAGTGCTGCTGTCTTAGCTCTGCTGTACAACCGCACTTGCATTCAGCGAGAGCAGGTTCTATACTGTACAGCGTCATCTCATTTTCCTGCACATGATATTATTTACACTAAAAATACATACATCCAAAATGATCTCCCATCCCTCCATATGTTCGCATAGGAACGAGAAGATAAAGCAATCAAAATACCGTCTTTTCCATATTTTCCAGCCAAATGTAAGAGCCATAGAGGGGAGAAGCATAAGTAATATCACTGCGCAACTAGTTAGTCGTTGAAACATGATGGTGTTTTGGTGGTAAAACCATAGTGTTAAAGATAGTGGTAGGCGGTATGTCCAGCTTGCTTGGCTGGCCAGCTGGGTCTGGAATTAAGGTGCGTTAGGCTGGAACATTTCTCCATAGCCATGCAAGGTTATTCATTTCATACAGTATGCAAGTCCCGAAACTGGTGCGACCACCTATACTCTTCAACAAATTTTCTAGCCTCAGTGCCAAGCCCACCCTTCCTTTAAGTAATAACCCTGGAATATCAACTAATTAATAGTTAGTTACCACTGTATGTGTATCAGTACTCTGGCTTCCTGGAATTGAAAAATGATGTTATGGCCGTAAATGTATTGGCGATGCAAGAAATTAGAAAAACAAGGCAAACACCGAAGCTGGATAGTGGCCTGGAGAAACCGGCGGGGTGTCACCTCCCTCTGCCACTCTCCATATCCAAGTGACAGCCCGGGGCCTTACTCGGTACCAGATAGTGAAATAATTAACTTACATTAGCTCGCTTACCTGCAGACTACTCATGAGCTTATTTATCCTGGCCACAGTTCTCTCTACTTAACGATCCGTGACACCCATTGGTGGAAGCTAACACACAACTATGCTAAGACTCCTCGGTGGCATCTGCCTTTGGGGGATAGCTTACATTTCTTTCCACGATAATGCTACCTATTTCCATGTCGGAGCCTTCCACACCATGTGGCCGTTATAGGCAAGACCAAAACTGAACAGAGGAAGTGTGTCACATGTCATAGCTGTCCTCCAGAATTCCACTAGATCCTGGAAACTGAATATGCTATAGCACCGACGATGATAGTGAGGCCAGTCAAAAAACTCAGGGTCTGCGAAACAAGGGGTGCGGCCATAGAAGTCGTAGTAGCGTTACACGTTCCCTCCGCCTGGCACCATCACACGATTAGTGAAATTTTCCACGCGGGTTTACCGACATTCAACTAACCGTATGACCAGCTGCACATCCTTATATAAGCATCCTGATTAAGGTCGTAATAGGTGACGTTATAGTCGGTGCAGTAGGATTCATCGCACTTGGTGACATTCTTTGCCTGCGATATTGAGGCAATCTGATGAAGGCAAAGGCACTTTATATCCGACTTTTTCGTGCTATTCACAGTGCTAACGTAGTCTCCACACACGGAACTGTTGTATAAAGTGTCATAGAATGCTTCGCCGTAACATGGTTGGGCACATTTCTGAAGACTTTCGATCCAAGCGCCCAGAGAGCATGGGGTCCATTCGTACGCAACGGCTCGCAAAGCCAAGAAAAGCGTGAGAAAATACAGTTTAGACATAGCAAAGCCTTGAGTGAAGAATGCAAGGCAAGGAAGGTCAAGGGGACCGAGATTGTGTGAAAATCCTGAATTTGTGGGGGAAAAGAGGTTCGGCGTCAAAGGAGATCTGTTCCCGTGCCTTTTTATTTTTATTATCTTCCGCGACCCGAGTCCGTGACAAGATGCAACTGGTTTCGCGTTAGTAAGGATATTAGGAGCAACTAAGGATCTGATGTAGGCCTAATATAGACTCAAATTACCTGGTCAGATTATCCACATCACCTATGGAACGTCTCGATCTCTGTGGTACGTTGGTTAACGCTAGAGGGAAGTGTGAGAAGGCTTAATTATCTAGATTTATACGGCTCTATATCTTTTGAAATAATTCGATATACGGAGTAACAAGATTTTTGGCTGCACTTCGCGCAGCCATGTGAAGGATAGGTATAGGAAAGCCAGTTGGCTAGGGTGGATATAAAGTAAGAAAGAATATATCAAGTTTTGATAGGGTACAGGAGTGGTCTATTCCGGCCAGTAGAATAGGCTATAACTGGCTAATCGATAGCAAGAGTAGCGGAAAGCAAGAAAAAAGAGCCAATCAGAGAGCTATAGTAATAGATTTCTATATAAAACTAAATATATCGCCTTTGGTATTATTAGCAATATTATAATTTAAAAGTGTAGATATTAGTAAATACTATAGTAAGTAGTAGACTGGATAGAAAGGAAATAGTTTTGATGGGGTACAGGAATGATCTATTACGGCTACCAGAGTGGGCTACCCGCAGCGACTGGCCAATCAGAGAGCAAGAGCGGCGGGAAGCAAGAAAAAAGAGCCAATCAGAGAGCCGCAGCGGCGGATTTCCATGCAAAACCAAATATATATATATGATTATCTGTCAAGACTAAATAGGGCCAGATCCTAGGCAAAATAACCACTAGACCAAAAATGCACTATAGGCAACATTCTTAGTCTATACCGTCATTTATTGCTCCGACATTATCCTACTAGACCTTTCAGTTGATATTAAACAGGCCATTCGACAAGTTCGATCGCGGCAGGAGGAGAGACCAGACCCCAATCCCTAAGGTCCTTGAAATCCCTGAAGCCCCTGATGTTTTTTTTGCGATAACGTACATTAGTCTTAGGCGTACGCTGACTCGCCTGGACCGATAAGCTGGCTCCCGTAGGACCGGGTATTCCCCGGGGATGCCGAATTGTGAGTTACGGCAAAACCTTCCGGCCATAATTTCTACTAACGGCTAGTGCCGTCCCCGCGGGGCGAATAACTCCTTATATCCCTGTGGAGACGCCTATATTCCGGCCAGAGAGCCTATACAGCCATTGTTGCCCGTGCCAAGATCTGATTACCCCCTTCTATATCTGGCAGGGGTAAGCTCTTGGCCGATAGTGGTATAAGCCTCGTTGCTTTTCTCTTGGACTACGCGGCACTATTCGCCACTGGAAATTTTTGACCCAGGGAAGAGAACTCATGCCTAGAGAAATTTGCTAGCAACTCAGGGGCTGTGGCTTAGTTACTCATAAGCCATAATTGAATTCGGAAGGGAGTCGTTCTTCTTTCCGAGTTCCTTCCTCAGGGACATCCAGTATGATCAAGCGACTCGACAAGGCCCTCATACTCGGGGTTGTTCTATCTACCACGCGTGAGCTAGGCCTTAGGATTGATTACGAAGGAGCCAGCTGAAAAGGAACCAGGTGCATTCAACGAAACAACGAAATTGAAGAAGGAAGAAACGATGGAGGAGGTGTCTGCTATCTTGTAGAGAGCTCTCATACAAACAGGCCCTATCAGGTTAGCCCGATCAGCTGTTTCCTTCTTCACACATCCCTCAGGTGATCTCCGCATCATCTGACAGGGCCTCCGCTCTTCCAGTCCATCGTCTTGTCATGCGTCACAATTACCGGATTTTAGTCGCGCCCTGAGACCTGGTGCCGTGGTGAAGATATAAGGTTGCTATCACTTAGTATGCAGTGTTAAATAAGTCTCTCCGATTTTGAAGATAGGCATAGCTAATACTGGGATAATCGGCTCTGCTCTACTCGTAGATCGATTGAATGCAGAACGGCGCAAAGACAGGCAGTAAGCGGTCTTAGGAAGGGCATTCCTTGGGGCGCATCAGGGTTACCTCGAATAGCCCCCCTGTCTGGCCCGTAAAGCGTCGGGGGCAGCGTAATTGAGTAGGTCCACGGATTCTTCAAAGCGGCCAGGGCCAGTCCTCGATTGTTGGTGAACTGTTGGATTACGCCTGTGCCGTTGCCCCGCGGGTCACATGACTAGGCATGCGACGTGTGGTGGTTATGGGATTTCACATATTCTTTTAATCCCATGTGCTTTATCTCGGACCACGAGTGGTGGTTCTGGAGTTCTTGCAGTCTTCCAATCTCTCTTGGACCAATTTTCGCTAGATAGGCTTCATCATCTTCGATCCATCCTGTACTGTAACATACAAAGCGCATTTACCTGCGTTCCTCGATTTATCTCGGCCCACCCAATAATAGATCTGCGCTAAGGCCTTGGCGGCGGGACCAGAATGGAGTGATCAAGTGGGTATCGGTCAAGCCGATTTCGAGAATGACTGTAAACACCAGTATGATCTTCAATACAAAATTATGGGCGATCACAAGCTACCGTCCGCACCAACACACCATCTAAATAACTAATCATGTCATTCACCTCTTCCAACTCCCCCACCCACCCGATATATTGATCCGGGCGAAGAACCAACACCGCGCCCCGCATTCGGTCGACCCCCCATTTTTCATACCCCTTTCCATCACAATTTCGGTTCCACACACAAGCATCGTCACACCAGATTTTATCATAGGCCCACCCCGTAACAGGGTCAAATGGACGCAGAATTTTGGGAAAATCAAAGAATTCCACTTCTGTCCACGATCCGCTGTGGATAGCCATGATGTCAACGGCACAATCAAACCGCCCCATAATGGGGGCATATCGCTGGAGGACAGATCGTGTTTTTGGATCACTTCCTGAAAGGTACTGTGTCAAGGTCACAACACGTTCCATCTGGCGTTTTTCCCGCACATCTCCAGCGAGAATTACAATGCGGAATCGCCCATCACTCTCGAAGAGCCTCGTCGTCCATCTGAGATTACCATCTGCCTGCATACGCAGCTTGACTGGTGGAAAACGTTCACCAGGAATTAAATGACGAGCAGTGGATGGGCCCTCACTACCATCAACCTTCCACACAAGCTCGCTAGCACCATAGAAGGACCTCCGGCCATCCGCAAAATCTTCAAACAATTCGACGACCTTGATCATGTTCTGTGTCTTGCTATCCTTCTCACCCTCGGTAAAGAATCCGGACCAATGACGGTCAAACTCAAGCAACATCTCTGCCAGGCGGTGCCTCTCGGCGTCATAGGTTCCTAGTATTGAAGGTGTCGCCACGCCGCCTGCTACCAGGGCAACCTTCCAGCCAATATTGAACCCATCCTGCATGCTCATATTCATGCCCAGGCCAACCTTGGGTGAATGCGTATGGACTGCGTCTCCAGCGAGAAACACTCTATTGCCTTTTGTGAAAGTCGGTGCGATACGTTGTCCAACTTGATATGCGGTCCACCAATCACAAATCCGGAAGTCAAAGGTGTATGGAGCGAATATAGTCTGGACTCGTCTTTTGATCACGCCAAGCGTAACTTGCGAGCGATTGAACCGGCCATTGACGGTGGTGGCATCTTCGATTGTTTGTACTGGCACATAGAGACGCACCAGGTTCCTCTCCCGTGGGATGACGAGAATTGTGCCTGACTCATGGGCTACAGTCCCGAGTCGACGGATATCCGCTAGTCCAGTTGATTTAGTCCAATTACCTACCGTAGGGGCTCTGTTGCTTACGGAAGTCACTGATGGGAACCACATCAATCACACCCCTGGAAATTTTCTATCAGACTAACGCCTCGGAGGAAAACAGGTAGCATATTCTACTCACCAAACATGGTCTGTACTCTCACCCTGCAGGGGAATATTGAGTTTTTTCCTTGTCCAGCTGTGTGCCCCGTCACAGCCAATGAGGTACTTGGCTTTGATGAACTCGGTCTGAGATTGCTCTGATTGACTTTTCTGAGTGAAGTCGTCCCAGTCGTCTGGGTTTAAATTGCCTTGATTGAGCTCATTGGCCACCGGGTCGGAGCTGGTTCCTGTCCTGTCGAGGCCAGGCGGATTCGCTTCATTTTCACTACGAGACCGTAGCTTGACAGTAATGGGATAACCACTGGGATCGTCTTCCATATCTTTGTTGTACTCAAAACACTCGGCAATGGTTCCTCGCTCGATCTTAAGGTCGGAATGCTGCTTTATACTGTCCAGAAGAAATCTCTCAATTCGTCCTTGGTTTAGTAGCATATGGCGGAAGGGCGACTCATTGACCTTTGAGCTGCAGTGCGGACCCTGTCGAACTAGACCCCCCTTTCCGTCGGGGACCTGGCTCGAGCGTTGTTAGTTACTGCTCCACAGGGGCTGAAAGACTGACAAACCCAGAAATTGGCTTCAACGGCTACATGTCCCTCCTGCTGAACCCGATGCTGGAATCCCATACTGTCAAATAGCTCCATGGTCCGCATGCGTAGACCATCGGCCTGACCGGTGAATACTTTCGTTCTTCGTTTGTCTACAATCCGAGCTCGTATACCGCAGCGGGCCATCCAGTAGGCTGCCATTAGTCCAGATGGCCCGGCGCCAATAATGAGCCTGTGGAGTACCTTTGGGATTAGTACAGTGCCTTGCAGGAAAGGGCATGGACTTTACACATCAGTCTGTGATTCGACGTTGTTATCCTGTTTCTCCATCATTGTTGTAGTATTTCAAGCACAAGAAAGATGCGTTGAAGGATTTTTGGCAAGCAATGGAGCTGTCATCGTGATATGCTGACATCTTATATATCATACAGTTTGCTCTTTCTAGTCTCTCGTGGAACCTTGTAGACCGAGGCTGGGTGCGTGAGATTCAAGCCCGAGTAAGGCTGCAGGCTGACTCAGGTCACTTCTTTATGTTGATTATCAGGTCGAAAGTTGACCTATGGGATAGGGCCCTTTCAGGAGCAGGGTAGGTATGAAACCATGAATCATTATCGGGGGAACGATACTGCCAACGGCTGAAGCCAGCACCTGTGCCTCTAAGTACATTCAATTTCAAGGGGAGATGATACCCAACCCACGCTAACAACTTACAGATTGTAAATTGACATCAGCATTCCGATGAAGCTGTCTAAAAAGCATGTAGCACTCATTTCATTCGACATGGAAGGGTTTTCTTTGAATGGCCTAGGCTGTGCGATGTTGTGAAACATACACGTTGGTGTACAATGCAATTACTCTAGAGTGATAACCCTAGAACATCACTGTTTCAACAGCAGTCGCAGTTTGAACAACATCGAGAGCTGTTTAGTTGTGTGTCTAAAGATTGAAATACTTGTTACTCGAGCTTGTCGACGCCGAGGAACCGCTGAGTCAAGGCTGACGAAGGCTGTGCAACAAATTTCGTCCATAAATCAATCAGAAGTCATCCTCGTCGTGTAACTTGATTGATACTACAGTGACTATCCGGGGATCTGATTCCTAGTCCGCTCAAGATAATGCGGATGAAGGAATTCAGCAACTTCGGACTCCGGCATGTGGACTACCACAGCCGATGGCTCCATTAGGTTTCTACGCAGGAAACTGTCGTATATAACGGGATGAAGGAATAGAGCAACCTTAAAAACCAGATAAGCCAAATATACCGGATGGGCGATAACGAGTGCCGTGGGAATGCGGTTGTTAGCAACTAGTGATGGTTGACCAACTGCGAAGGCTGGTATCACAGCCCGGACCTACCAAGAATGACAACGTATAGGATTCAATTGTCCTACGGTTGACATCAGCTGGTAGCTGTTGACAAATAACCTCTGCGTGAACAAATCTACAATATACGTAGGAAAGTCCGGCGACGCATGCCCTCCCGAGCCTATAAATCACAAACCCTCAAGGGACTGTTGAGCTCCACAGCTTCATCCTCACAACTGCACGAACATCGACTTCTTTTGTTCGCAGACACTCTCCATACACTGATTCATTGATCCACTGCCAGTCACCTCTAATAGTGAACTCTGTACCACTCTCACCAAGTCGATCGTCACGTCGGCTGCCCTTGCTTGCTGCCGCTGCAGTCTCAACTCGCCAGGAGGATGCAGCACACGCCGCACACATACTCCACTAAAAGTACTATGTCAGTTGCAGACATGCTGTGTGTAGTTCCAAAGCCCATCGCCATTAGCATTGATACTTCTGCTTGGTCTTCCATACCCACACCCACGAGAGCAGCGTCCACTCTCCCATGCCCCGGTCGCCTAAAAGTATCTATGCCGACCAGTCAGCATTGACTGAGCAATCCAATGAACAAGCAGCTTATTAGTGTCCTGCTGGATGAATTCGCCTGCAAGACCCGCAAGCATGACAGTCGTCCCATCACACAAAGGCGCTCCTGCGAACGACAGCGCGTGTCGTACAGTTCTTCTGGCGATGTCACAATGGCAACGCACGGCACTATGCCCTTGGTTCGAGTCAAGTGCCTACACAGGCTGGCAAAACCTGTGTTGAGGACATGCTGATCATGGTGACAGTAGAGGTGGTAGCTCGTATGGCGACTTCTACACAACCGACAGCCCTGCTCGGCGGACCGCGCGTATGGCATGGTTAGGAGATGGTAACGGTACCGTAATGGTCATGAGAACCGAGCCCCGCCATGGTTACATAATTTGAAGCCTGAGGCAATCAGCGGAGGAACTATAATCCGTTCGATCAAACGCCTCCCATTCATCCATTCAACCTACTCGAATGGGAATGAAAGGGATGATGACATAAGATCAACTCGGTTAACTAACTATATGTATGGAGTTGGGCAGTTCTAGTTTCACACCATCGGTGATCGAAAACCTGCCAGAGGCTCAAGCAGCAACCGGGGAGACATTCATGGCGGCTCAACTCCCAGACATAGGCACGCGGGCCACAGATCCCATCTCGGAGGCTCACTCTCTAGTGGCCCAGCTGTATGCGCCGGCAAATCAAAGAAATCCGACCCGGATCAATGACATTCAAACACGTCTTCAACAGCTCCAAAGAGGCGACCATGCCTGGCAAATTGCCGATGCACTGTTGAGAGAGCCCGACGCCCACCATCGTTTCATGGGGGCGCTGACGTTCACAGTAAAAGTGAACGTCTCGAGTCACGAAATCGATGGGGCGATGAGCCTTCAGGTCATGGAGCATCTCATCAACCATTTCGTCACCATTGTGAAGGAAAGCGAGCAGGCCATGGTGGTCAGGAAGCTTGCATCCAGCCTGGTGACCCTCTTCAAGCATTCGGCGTGTCCGTGCGAACGAGTGCTGTGGCAAGTGGCTGCCAGCTTGGCCCATGGCCGGTTCGTCTCCGAACAGCAGGCCCAAACAGTCGACTTCTCGACTGGCGTGCTGCCCAGCCTCGACACTCAGAAAGTCACAGCCTTGCTGTTCTTTTCGGTCACACTAGCCGAGACTACACTACGGCTCGAGGACGAGCCCTACGAACTAGTGGGATCGGCTCTTCAACGAGCTGGCACGAACACCCAGGATGGCTTGCTGTTGGTGCAATACATCCTACCGCAGATATCCTACCAGTCTAACGTAGTTCTGGACGAGCAGGTTCATCGGACCCTGGGGAGTGAGGTCATGAACTCTTGGAAAGCCTGGTCAGGTGTTACGACAACCCGTTCTCAGGCAGACGGAGACAGTATCCATAACCTGGTTGTTTCTTGTGGACGTGAAATCATGCAGACTCTGAGAGTTCCAATCTTGAGCGAGTTCGCAGCTTCGACCCTCATTCACGTGTTTGAAAGCCGTCGTTCCGCTTTTGATGAGAGCTCCCTTTGGGTCCTTTCGCAGGTACTCTCTCACTCGGTCGTGACAGCGCACGTTGTAGCCGTCATCAAGGGTGAAGAAGGCTCGGAGGGTATGACTTTTGTCGACCTCTTGGTGGCGTACCTATCGCATCTTCGGTTGCAAATCTTTCGCGACCCCATGAAGCCGGCGGATGCCAAAATCCTCGCCATCGCGCGTGACATCTTCAAAACTCCAGGCTATGCGGTTATCGACGACCCAGCCACCCCTCGCGTGCTTGAATTTTGGAATGAGATTGCCGAGTGTGTGCTTGATGAGTTGGAGGAGAATGACCCCGCATGGCAAATGATCAAAACGCACTTGGCACAGGTTGTGCTTAGCCTGTTCAGCAAGCTTTTATATCCAACATCGGAGGACCTTTCCGACTGGAGCGATGAGGAGCGCAGCGAATTCAATGCGTTCCGCTACGAGGCTTGCGATTATCTACTATCGGCCTATCCAGTCCTCGGCGTCGAGTTAGTGCGTGTGTTCCAAGAAAGTGCAACATCCAACCTCCAAAATGGTGACTGGCGTGGGTTTGAGGCTGCCATGTTCTGTATCGCTCAGCTTTCCGAGGCTGTTGATGAGAATGGACATGCCGACCAATGCCTAGATGCCATCTTTGGCAGCGATGCCTTCTCACAACTCTGCGCCGGTGGAAAGGCAGGCATACCCCTAAAAGCGCGCCAGACCCTCGTGGACACCTTTGGCAAGTATGAATCATACTTTGAACGACACAATTCCTTGCTCCCGAGTGTCCTGAACATTCTCTTTGAATCTCTGAACTTTGAGCCGTGCGCCCAAGCGGCGTCACGGTCTATACTCACCCTTTCTAAGACGTGCTCTCGCGTCTTGACGTCGGAGCTACCTGTCTTCCTCGACCAGCTAGACCAGTTTCGTACCGGGCCAACCGCAACCTCGTCCACAATGCCCAAGGTTCTCGAGGGGATTGCCACTATCATACAGAAGCTGTCCATGGACGAGGAGAAAGTGCAAACCCTGGAAAGGATTCTGGGCTTCTTTGTCCAAGAGGCCGCACAGGCGCGACAAGAGGCGGCCAACTCAGCATTTGATCTCGCTCGCTCACATGGCCACCTAGTGTTGAGCTGCATCGCTAGTATCGGAAAGGGGCTGCGAGCAGATGCCGACGAAGTTATCAACGTTGACGCCGCACCAGAACCAAACCCCTATCCCCCTTCCTTTTGGAACACAGGCCCGGGGTCGCAGGCCCAGCAGTTCATTATGGAGTCCATGCGACTGCTTATCGTGGATTTCCCAGTCGACAGTAACATGATCGATTCCGCGTGCGACATCCTCAAGGCTGGCTACACCGAGTCATCGGGACTTTTTGTTTTCCCCCCGTCCATGACTGTCGACTTTATCAAAAGTTTCCCACTTGGTATCTCCGGCACGGATGTCATTATGGCAACTGCATCTTCATTCCTGGCGTCCCATTCATCTCATTTTATGCAGATCCGGGACGAAGCGGTGGCATTGATCGTTCATGTTGCCCAGCTATTTTCCTCGATGCTTGACAACGAAGAGCTGTACGACCCCGAGACCGCCAACGCGGGGATTGATTTCCTCGCCCGTCTGATGCCCAAATACTACACCATTCTCTTCTCGCTCACCGAGCCGCTGCCATCACTGGCCGCTGACTCCCCCCAGCAAAATATCCCGATTTATGCGGTTTTGTTGAACTTTACGCTGCATGCTCTGACTCGACCCGAGGCGCTGACTCTTCGCTCTGCATCGGCATTCTGGATTGCTCTGATCGACCTCCGTGGTAGCTCCCTGGAAGAGACCACGGCGCTGGATCAAGTGCTGGAGCACTTTGTTCCGCGACTTGGCGAGACTTTGATTGGCCAGATCGCCGGTCACTGCGCCCGGTCGGATCTCGTCTCCCTCAACGATGTTCTACGGCGCTTGATATTCAAGAAGATGGCCCTTGCACGCCCGAGTATCACTGCTGCACTCAGCGCCTTGGCCCTTCACACCATTGATGACACGGCCCACCCAGTCCCGCTTCTTTCCCCGCAGGACAAGTCTCGATTTTTGGAGTCTCTGATCGTTGCCCGAGGCGCCCGGCAGCCATCCATGGAGCTCGTCCGCGCCTTTTGGCTCAAATGCCGAGGTATGAGCTACGATTATGCCCAGTAGAAGAGTCAGACTGGGCGCGGAGGGCGGCCGGGCGGTATGATGATATGAGGAGAACGATGGCAGTTGGAAAAATTGATGGCAGGACGGGGGGATTCCTTCACACTAGATATCCATATACATGCACGAGCCCAGTTCAGTCCATCGTCCAGGCAGAACCAAGACGCAGGGCTGCCCATCTCCCCTGTGCGCCCGTCCTCCAATCTGTCCATGCAATTTATCCTGCATATATGGTGTCAGAACCTTAATATACGCATGATCTTCCCGGTGGCATTTGAACCAGTTGAGTCTATGGTTCATGGAGCGTCTTCCATCTTCACCTCTGGCCCACTTGCCACGTAGTTAACTCATAGGTGTGGAACCCAGGCGTCTGCCGGCCACACGACGGGTGATCGCCGGCACGTGCGAGCACCATTGGACGGCACGTGTTTTGGGCGCGGCAGACCCATCGATCCGGGGCAATGTCCAAGTCGGCATCAGACAGTGCCTTCTCGTTTCCCCTTCCACCCTCATCGCGACACACCCGTCACAGGCGTCACAGCAACCTACCACTGCCACTGCCCACCTACTGCCGCGAAGCCTGATGGTGACTCAGCACCAGCGTGCCCGCTGATTGGTGGTTCCTGACAGCCGGACAGCCCGCGCCGCGTAGTGACGTGACGGGCGCGATAAGATTCCCTCCAAAAAAAACTTTCATCGGTACGGTCCACCAACTCTTGCAGGGCATGAGTAGTCTGCACCAAGATGCAGTCGATCATCGTACTGCTCGCCCTCCTCGCCGGTGCCGCGGCATCAGCGATCCCGCTCGAGCAGCAGATTTTGGCCGAATCCTCCTGGGAGACCGGCGCCGATGTTTTCCCCGATGATGCACCACAGCTTCTTGCGGGCGCAGCAGCCCCAGGCCCCCATGGTCGCTTCTTGCATATCACCGGTGAGTGCGAAGCACAGTCATCATGCTCGGCAAGCGCGGAGATCCTGACCATAGACCGCGAGAATAGATTTCCACCCCGACCGATACTACAAACCGGGCACCCTGGTCGACAGAGAGCATGGGACCTGCCACCACGGCAAGGGACCCGCGGGATATTTCGGCACTGAAGGCTCGGAATGTGACGCTCCATTGTCCCTGATCAACGAAACATTTCGGTGGATCGAAGAAAACCTCAAAGACAAGATTGACTTTGTGATCTGGACCGGAGATTCGGTCCGCCACGACAACGACGAGCGCATTCCACGGACGGCGGATGAGATCGTCGAAATCAACCAGCTGATGGCCCAGAAGTGGATCGATTTGTTTGGGGTGCGCACCCCGGGCAAAGGCTCGACCAGCATGCCCCAACTGTCCGTGCCCGTCGTGCCCACCTTTGGCAACAACGACGTCCTGCCCCACAATATCTTCCGAGAGGGTCCCAATACATGGACGAAGAAGTTCGCCGAAGTATGGAGTCATTTTATCCCCGAGGACCAGCGCCACAGCTTTGTGGAAGGCGGGTGGTTTACCACCGAAGTCATTCCGGGCAAGCTGGCCGTCATCAGTCTGAACACGATGTACTTTTTTGAGTCAAACAGCGCGGTGGACGGGTGCAATGCCAAGTCGGAACCCGGGTACGAACACATGGAGTGGCTGCGGGTCCAACTCCAACTCCTTCGGAGCCGGGGGATGAAGGCGATTCTGATGGGCCATGTGGCCCCCGCCCGCTCACACGAGAAGGCCAACTGGGATGAAACCTGCTGGCAGAAATATACTCTGTGGATGGACCGGTACCGCGATGTCGTCGTCTCCGGACTCTACGGACACATGAACCTCGACCATTTTATCCTGCAGGACAGCCACAAGGTCGACATTGTCACCATGTCAGAAAAGTCCACGAGCGGCACCGTGTCCGCCATGTCGAAGCAGGACTACCTCCTTTCACTTCGCGAGCAATGGTCATCATTACCATCACCCCCTTCCGGTCTCTTTACGAAGCTGCACGGCTTGTCGGATTCTCCCGAGTTTGACTCAACAAAGAGGAAACCCAAGAGCAAGAAAGATAAGAAGAAGGAAAAGAAAGAACGCAAGTTCTTGAAAAAGATCGGAGGACCATTCGCGGAACGGTACAGCCTTTCGTTGGTCTCGCCCAGCTTAGTGCCAAATTTTTTCCCTACGCTGCGGGTTGTTGAGTACAATATCACTGGGCTGGACGATGTTATCCTGCAAGCAGGTTCCGGCTACAGCGATCAGGTGGAATCTTCTGATTTCCACGTTGAGAAATCTTCCCTGCCTCTGACTGAGAATCCCTCCGCCGGGATTGAAAAGAAGAAGAACAAGAAGAACAAGAAGCCCACTTTTAAGATTCCCGATCCCCCATCATCGACCGCACCTCCGGGTCCTGCATACTCCAATCAACCATTAACCCTGCTGAGTTACACTCAGTACTTCGCAAACCTGACTCGGATCAACCAGGAAATTGCATCGAACAGTGGTCATGACCCTCGGATCAACTTCGAAGTCGAGTATACTACGAGTGGAGATGGCGTGTACCACATGAAAGATTTGACTGTGCGCAGCTTCTTGGAGCTTGCCATTCGAATCGGTGAAGCTGGAGACGCCGCAAGCGACGCGATCGCTGACCCAGACCGCCCGGTCGCGAAGGGCAAGAGGGAGAACGAGGCCTGGCGCGCGTTCCTTTCGCGGGCATTCACTGGGTTTGTTGATGTGGATGATCTCGATTTGGCGATACAGTAGACGTTCATTGCCATGAACAAACAGCCCTCGGTTTTTTTTTTTTTACCTCCCCCAGTTTAGAGATGTTTGCATTGGTTGATATATGGGTTGCATCTGTGTGAAGTAGATATTATATTGCATTGACTCGGCGTTATTATCTGTCGAAATACATGGCGTAGTAGCTACCCACCAAGTCCCGGCTACTTTATCAAGTGCTCTCTCACCTGTCCTGTGTTTTTGTAGATTCATTCTTGAGGCGAATGGGACTGTAGCGACCATATGCCCTGGGGCCTTCCTTGAGGTCCCTCACTTGGTCGCTTCTACCATCCGCGTTACTTCTGCTTACTCGTCCTTGTGCTCCGTTCCCTACCGTAGCGTCGTAGACGTGTGACTAGCATTACCTAAACATAACTCCTTGATACCGGCTGGTGATCAGCATCGAGCCTTGCGGGTGTTTGAAGATACCTTGGCGGTGGCTATATCGAGGTGCGGCTTGCTACCGCACCCGGTGGCAGGACTGTACTCGATAGGAAGGCGTTTACCTGCTGTGCAGTTCGAGCGGGTTCCAGAAACTACCCGTCGGTCGCGTTCCATAGACCCGACATCGCTGAAGACCGACCACTTCTCTCGACCGTGACACGGTGGTCTTCTCGTGAAGCTGGTCCAGAGCAAACACCTGGACTAACACCATCTGGATCATGGAGGAACGGTTTGGCCCACACAGGGTCTGGGCGGGGTTGCTGGTGCTCCATGAGACGCCATGGCTCGTCCCTTCGACCTCCGCCTGCTCCGACCGCCCTGCAACCTACGGGAAGATGAATGGGATTATGATTCACCCCCCATCAAGAACTCCACGCGGTTGCGAACGGTACCAGGGTCATGATGCCAGCAACGGGAATGCCACGACCCATGTCCTGTCTCAGGATCGGCGAAAGCGAGCCACGTCGTGAGAGCATCTCAGCCCCATCGTCAGGTGACTCGACGGCGCTACGCGCTGCACGCTGGCCGAGCGAATCACTCCGCAGGGGAGCGAAATGACAATCGTCGGGCATCTCTGGCACTCCCGCTATCAAACGAGACTCAGGCTTTCCCGCATCCCGCGTCCCGCGACCAGTCGATTAGCTCCCCATTCTGCAATGTCGAACCCGGACGACTACACCGTGGGCTGGATTTGCGCCCTAGCCACCGAATACGTCGCTGCCCAAGCGTTTCTGGACGAACGGCATGAGCCCCCAGCTTATCTGCCACCTCGCAACAAAAACGACTACACCCTGGGCAGGGTCGGGAAGCATAACGTGGTCATCTCTGTTCTTCCCATGGGAGAATATGGCACCGCCTCGGCAGCACGCGTGGCAGAAGATATGATGCACAGCTTTGCCAATATTCGCATTGGTCTTATGGTCGGCATTGGTGGGGGTGCGCCGAGCCCCAAACACGATATCCGCCTGGGAGATATTGTAGTCAGCATTCCCGGCAATGGCCAGGGCGGGGTCCTCCAGTACGACTTCGGCAAGACGATACAAGCCCAAAGCTTTCAGCTCACAGGGTCTCTCGATCAGCCGCCTTCTGTGCTGCGTGCAGCAGTAAGCGGGCTCATGGCCCAATACGAGAGCGAAGGCCACCAGCTCGAAGATGCCGTGAGCAAGGTTCTGGAGAGAAAACCGCGGCTGCGCAAGAAATATCAGCGTCCAGATCCAGCGAGTGATCGGCTATACTACAGTGAGATTGTTCACCCCGGGGAGGGTGAATCGCCCTGCACGTCACACTGTGGGGATGGTCCGTCTTGTCTGGTCTCGCGATGTGCGCGCACCGAAGACGATGATAACCCAGCCATCCACTACGGCCTGATCGCATCCGCTAATCAGCTCATGAAAGATGCCTTGATTCGAGACCGATTAGCGGCCGAAAAGGACGTTCTGTGCTTTGAAATGGAAGCAGCTGGGCTAATGAACCACTTCCCTTGCCTTGTGATCCGCGGCATCTGTGACTACGCGGATTCGCACAAGAACAACGACTGGCAGGGGTATGCGGCAATGGTCGCGGCAGCATATACGAAAGACCTTCTATATCGCATCATGCCCCAGCAGGTGGAGCAGCAAGCAAAGGCCCTCACTGTTCTGAAGGAGGGAGATCATCGTACAAATATCTCCTTTGGAAACCACAATCGAGGCTTCCAGGTTGGGGTCAACAATGGTCCGATCACTAGCTCGTTTGGGGCCCAGTGATCAACTTTCTTATACTAGTGACGTACAGTAAAGGTCGTCGAGACATCATTGAATCAGGCAGAGAAGAGTGAACCCGGCCTTTGTTTAGCAGCAAACCTGTGTGGGTATGTGGAAGAGACTGAGCACGCGGCACAATCCTGTTCCGAGGTATCAACAGCCTCATCTGGGCTCTGCGAACTGTAGTTTCACCTAGGTTGGGATCGCAAGGACTCTGTACATACACTACCTGTCTCAATTAATACCTAAACTAATCGTGGAACCAGCTACTATATATATTGGCCTGTGTGGAGTAGCAATGTTTTTGGCTTTTGTGGAAGTCATGCTTAGAGTTCTGCGATTTCCAAGGCCGACGACTAATTGAGTTCAAATCCAAGTCAAAATGCCCCGGTACCTACCTATGCCTCCGGAATTTCCAGGTTATTGTCGACTCTCTCAACCACGGGAACCCAACACACTTTGGAGGCGTACCTCAGGCGGCAATCACATGCGGCACTGACCACCGAGCATGGCCGGCTATCGGAACAACCTCGCTCCGACCCGTCGGTGCTGGCCGCCCAAAAGTTGACGTGACGGAGCAGTCCCTCCATTCCTCTCCAAAACCAGCCCTTCGCATCTGAGGTTCTCCTCGCCAGTTCCAGGTCATGAGCAATGCGCTCTGGGTCGCATGGCGGATCCCATGCTCGGGGCTCCGACCTTCCGTGTTGGGCCCAGTGATGCTCAGCCATGCTGGTCGTGATCTCCGCTTGACGCCCTGGAAATTGCACAGCAGCCCATTCAAACGCCCATTCAGCTCCCTACGCCCTCCATCTCTACCTGAACACCGACCCAGCACCCTCACGTTCTTCCCTCGGAGTTTCACACCTGCTCCGATTCTACGGAGGCTCAAGAGGACCACAGCTTCCGCGCAGCCCAACCTCAAAGTCCCCGAGACCCTACCTGGCGAAAAGCCGCGTTCTGATGCGCAGATCAAGAGGATATTTGGCTCGAAAACCCTCTCGGCAAAAGTGGGCAACCGCACTCTGGCAGTGCTGCAAGCTCGCCGGGTAGACGGTACCCTCGACCTCGATCTCCCTTCGGACATTACCCGCGCCGTGCCTCAGTTACAGCTCGACACTGCGTTGGAGTGGCTGCGAGCCAACTATCCAATTGACGAAGATGCTGCAATCTTAGCACGCATTGAACGAGAGGAGTACGAGGAGGAACAAAAGCTCGTGCGACGGGCGGAAGCGCTGGGTCTGTACAAGCCCCAGAGTGGTTCCTATGAGGCGGAGCTTGGTGAAGACCAGTCCGTCTACGGAAAGAGTGTCCTCAAAGAGGCGCGGGAGAAGAACGAGAAACGACTTCTGGCGGAGAAGGAGCGCAAACGCCAGCAATGGTTGGAAGGCGAAAATGAGGAACTGGAAAAATTGAAACGCCAGGTTGAGGGGAATACAGCCCTGCAACAGTACCAAGAAGCGGCGCTTACTGAAGGTATGGGCTTTTCGGAACCCCCTCGGAAATATGATGGTTGCTCACAGTTTTGAACAGCTCGACCCCGTGCCGACCCCAATGAGCGTCCCTTCCTTGCTTGGGTCCAGAAACACCACATCGCAGGAACTCTTAACCAGGCGGAGGCTGTGAATGTTACCACTGTATGGATGACGCTGTTCCCTTGATACCCTGTTTCTTTCTTTGTTTCTTTTTTTCCCCTGCTTTTTTTGCTCTTTTTTTGCGAGCGTGGCTAACGTTGGTGCATCACAGTCTCAACGCCTTCTAGCACCTCTGATATTCACAATTGTGACCGTCGGCCTCTGCTATGTCTTTTCCCAACAGTACGAGGCCCCTGCGCGCCAGGATCGCTTGTGGCCAGATGTGCCTCCAGCCGCCGCAACAGTGGGAGCAATTATTGGGGCCAATCTTGCCATTACTTTCATGTGGAAGTACATCCCGCCGTCGTGGAGGTTGCTCAATCGCTTTTTCGTCATTGTACCGTTCTACCCGAGTGCCCTCAGTATGCTCGGGAGCGCCTTCAGCCACCAGACTTGGAGACACCTAGCCACAAATATGATGGTTCTCGGTCTCATGGGGACCAGAGGTAAGAAATCTGTGGTGAGAATGAGACGATGGCCAGCAAGCTAATCTCTCGTTTGGTCTTTCGCAGTTCATGATGAACTTGGCCGTGGAAACTTCCTGGCGATTTACCTGGCCTCCGGAGCGGTTGGCTCGATGGTGTCGTTGTCCCGCAGTGTCATCCTTGGTTATCTCGGTATGACCTCTCTTGGGGCCAGTGCTGCCACCAGCGGCATCGTTGCCGCATGGTGCATGTATCACTTCGAGTACGTTCCCTTGTGTTTATCTAGCCCCACCCAACCCAGATCGTGGCTAATACCTGCCTCGCAGTGACAAAATCACCATGTGGATTCTGCCACGTGAGCTTCGTGAGACTATGTGGACCCAGGGCTGGATCTTCCTCGCCTGTCTGATCGCCACTGAGGTGTTCAGCATGGTGACACCCGCACGCTTCTTGCAGGTGTTTCCCTTGTCTCGACTGACCAAGATGGACCATGCAGCTCACTTGGGTGGTTACTTTACCGGTGCTGGGTGTGGATATGCTCTGGCGCAGAGACGGAGGGCCCAGGAGCGAGAGCGGAGAGCCCGTGATTCGAAGTGGCTTGAGAACCTTGTTCGGTAGAGCTCGTCGAAGATCTACTCTACGCACGACCTTGGCATTGTTCGCAGATTCAAAGGGGGTATCATGAATCATTAGCATTAACTGGCTTGGCGTATTGGGTTGTTTCTTCTGTCATGGAGGATCTCATGACTGTATTATAGATATCGAATGTGAACATTTGGCAGCCACCTGTATATCCCTTGTCCATTATATTTGGCCCGCCGATCATGGCCATTAAATTAATTACGGAACTCAGTCTGCCGTCCGGTACAGGTGTGAGGATCCCAACGCTTCTTTATCTTCCATGCCCGTAGAGAAACATGTCCATTCTACTCAAACGAAATCTTGACCACTTTTGCGGGCTCCATAAATGTACCCAACACCGGAGCAACTTGGCCACCGCTGGTGCCGACATACAAAGCCTTACCATCTCCCGTCAACGCACAAGAAGTGGGCCCAGCGATCTGGGTGGAAAGCTGGCCCCCTGCAACCAGGGAGATCTGCCCGTACGGCGTGATGCGAACCACTGAATTCTGCGGGTCGGTGGCAATGTACGCGGTGCCATCCGAGGCCACGTCGAGGTTATCCGGCAAGAATCCACTGGCGATGATTTGGTAGTCACCGGCGGCGGTGGCGTCCTCGTTCACTTTGACCCGGCCGAATTCCATTCGTGTCGTGCTCGAGTAGTAAATGTAACCATCGACAAGCCGGATGCCGTTGACTCCCAAGGGAAGGGCTTGGCCTTCAGCCGGTTGCATGGTCGTGTCGTTGAGGGCAACGGCGTATTCGCCTGTCTCTGTGTTGACACTCCATACAGCGCCCTTGGGACTGTCTGCGATCAACACCATGTTCGAGCCCTTCGTAAAGGCTGCCATGCCATTCAAGGCTTGTGCCTCGGGAAGAGCGGCGATTTGTGACACCGCCGCCGACTCGGCTACCCGCTCAGTATCACCACTCCCGTCAGCATTGTTGAAGTCGATCTTTTGAACCGAAAATGATCCCGGAGTGGGTTGGTATGTCTTTGTGGAGAAGTTGCCCACGACCACGGCGAAGACGTCGTCGTCAATCTCGCTGATACCAAAGCAGCTGGTCGCGTTGGGAAACGAATAGATCAGCGTTGCATTGCCGCTTGTGTCCACAGACCAGACTTCCGGTGTATCCAAACGCGTGAGGAGAACGCTCCCGTCAGATCGTAGAGCAACGTTGTCGATCCAGGAGCCATTGTCGGGGAATTGGTAAATAGTTTCCACCGTCACCTTGGGCTTGTCGTTGCTATATGGACTTCCGGACTGGGCGAACAAGAGCGGCAACGAGGCCAGGGCCTGTGGAAGGGCAACTAAAAGGCCAATCCAAGTGGCGTGGAAGTGCATTTTGATAAGACTGGATGCGAAGGGTGGACGCGCGGACATAGCGAGGGATGTGCTGGTGGGACTATATATGATGGTCGGACCCATGCTTCCATTCTTGATGTCCATTTACATTCCACCATGCCGGTGTTTACTTTGATTAGAGCCACCCCTACATTCCACACGCGCGGCTTTTACCTGGCGAGAATACGATGTAGTGCGCAGACAAGGTGATAATACAATGGGAAATATTCACTGTTCAATCCTGAGCTTACGTGAAACCCAGAAAGGGAGAAGGAGAAAAATCGAAGGAGACAGTCTTGGGACGGTGGGACGATTCGAAGGAGGTATCTATCAGCATACACACGCCAATAGAATAAGAAAATCTCCGAGGAATTTTGGATTTTCTGACGTGCCACCCGACAAAATGGGAAGGTGGCAGATTCGACGCCGATCCTGAAGGAAACTGAATCCACTGGTGAAATTTTTATTGTAGATGTACATAAGAGATAGGCAAGCGGGGGCGTGACGGATCAGGTCTCCAGGGGGCGCAGAATCCAAGGCAGTCGTTCTAAACAATATTCTTATTCCAGACATAAATGTCAAAGGTTTAGTTACCGTAATCTCTCTCAAAATAAAGAATGAAGTCTGAGACTCCATCATAGATGGCATTTTCTTTCCTAAAACTAACCAAATTCTTAATACAGTAAAAGAACGCCCTCCAGACTGGGAGAGCCACCATGATAGTCGAGTGAAGGCGACGACATTCAGCGCTCAGGGCATTCTGTTTTCTCTCAGTGGTTCCATAACACAGAAATCGCCTTTCTTCTACAATATGTCTCAACTGTCCTCCTTCCCAATGGTAGATCTAAATCCAATCCGGAGTATCGTCTTCCATCATGAAGTAAACAGAGTTCGATGGCGGATCAAATCTCCCCTCAATCCCTATTCATCTCTCCAATCAAGAAAATATAGCTAGCGAGCAGAAGTCTCAGGCGAGAGCACCTAGTTTGACATCGTAGATACTCGCGTCTACCACCTCATACGACTTGAAGTCCCGAGCCTTGAGTTCCTTCTTCGAGAAGAGCATGTTCAACTTCTCAAAAGTCCGGTTTTCTTAGTCTCAGAGAGACGGAACCAGGCCCAAATCCAGAAGAAAATGATGATGCCACCGGTCAGGAAACCCGTCTTTCCCTTCCAGTTACCCTTAGTGGGGTTGAGAATGTAAGGCCCTACGAAGTAATTTACCAACAGGGACAGATTATACGCGTTCCTGGCAAGAGCGACTCTTTTGGCACGCAGGCGCGTCGATGAGACCTCGCCGACGAGAACATAGGCAGATGGACCGACGGTGAGCTGGTAACCACAGTTCCAGACGAGGAAGAGCGCGGAGGATGCGTAGGGGGCTAAGGCGACGAAGCCCAGCAGGAACATGATGAGACTCATGAAGGCGAGACCGCAAAGGTAATAGACGGCGACGGCCGAAATTGGCGACAAAGGCGACGGAGATGAGATTGAAGAGCAGATGGAGACCATTTTGACCGACGATCATCTTGTACGCATCCTGGGACGTGAGACCGGCCAGCTCGAAGAAGTAGGTTGAGTAGGACTTCCCCGAATAACTTGAGTCGAACAACCCAAGCAAAGCACATGTGCAACTCCAGGTCAATCGATCGAATCGATTGATCACCGTTAGACATCAGATAGCATTTGCCGGCCCCGCACTTTCTGCCTTTTGGCTAAACTGCCAGACCCTAGAAAGTCAAAGAAACGAGTCTAACCTGAACTCAATTCGTGTGCCAACTCTAGTAGAATATCCAGTTGCCGATGCTCCGCATTGGGAAAAGCCATTAACGCCAGGGACATTTCTCCTCCAATCGAACGAGGGAGAGGTGCGAGAACACGAGCTTGGCCAGACTCCGCTATCTCCGCTCCTTCCCATGCTCTCCGATGTCTGTTTCCGTTTGTGTTCGGTACACCGGAGCAAATAATGATCATCGGACCCCCACAGACTAGCCATAGACTCATTCAGCCAATCTTCAGCTTCAGGTCTGTCCAATTTTCAAGCTCCGGGTCTAAATAGGCCAATGCTCGTATACAAGTCACGCCAGTCGGTAGATCGCGAGCTTAGTACGTATCGCAAGGAGGCAATGGAGGAATTCCATTGGTCGTTCTCTCTTCTCACTACGGTCGAATGATACCTTTTCTAAAAAATGAGCACAGACTGGTCTATTTGAAACGAAACTGGTATACGGAGACCCAAATAATCTAGTCTATGATACCCACGGGAAGAAACGAAACATAATTCACCGGCGCAAGTTCATCTCCATCCGGTGTACCCACAATCGTAAGCACATCGCCTTCATGCACCTGTACACCTTTGAAGTAGATGCGAGTCGCTGAATGACCATCGCGAAGATCCGAAAAGTCATGTAGCAGGTGCTTCCCCAGATCACCAGCCCAGTTTCCGATAAGCCGTTTCTCGCTGCTCCCGTCACCCCCGAGGAACAACTGGTATTGAGACGTGCCTCCGAGGTGATCATAATAATTTACCGCAATATTGTAAACTCCGACCGGGAAAGTAACAGCCCACGTGGCAGTCCCCAGAGCGTTGTTGGACTCGGTGATGATTGCATGACCTCCAAATGCTGCTTCGAAGGGGGTGATAGGGACGACCTTGTACCCGCTCAGTTGCATATCCTGGGCCTTGACGCGCCATTTGTAGCTGCCGACTCGGTGGTGCTCGTCGGGAATGCCGCATTTGGCGAGGTAGAAGTTGCAGATAGAGTCGCGCCACACGAGCGCGTGGCCTGCCTGGTAGGTCAAGCGGAATAGAGTGTGCTCGAACCGGTGGTCATCAATCAATCCACGCAATGCTTCCCAGCGCACAGGGAAGGTCTGGGCGTTCTGGGCGCCATCATAGTGGGCATCGTAGAAATGTTGAATCACCGTCTTCCCGGACTTCAGCCGGCGGGTGTATCGCACGTGGTGGAACCAGAGAAGAAGCTCGTCTGGAGTGGTCTCCGGGTTCTCGAATATCTTTGCCACCTCTGAGGGATACTGACCGGAATAGCCAGTCCCAGTAGCTGTGGTGCGGTCCATACCGATGGCATGGGCATCTGCACGCGTCCACTGACCCCATCCGTTGCCGTCCATGGCAGCAGGGCTCGGCCCATAGTGGCAAGTCTTCACGATATCGCACAATGTCTGGATACCTAGGTTGCCGGAATAGTTTTCGTATGTGGGCCACGATTCCATCGAGAGTTGGGTAACGGTATCGACGACAGTTGGGTGGTGGCTAAAGGTGAGTCGCGTCCAATCTTCAATCACAGCCCTTTCATCGCTGGTGGGATCCCAGCAGTAACGACCGTACGCGTATAGATTTGACATGGCCAGGTGGCTACCCAGCCAGGTAGAGTCATTGCCGACATTGACAACAGCTGCGTAGCCACTGCGCTTCCAGTTGAACCGCTCCCCCGAGACGACATCCCGGACCAAGCTTTGCTGCCCATCAATGCGGAGATCAAAATCGAGAATCGTCTTCCACAGTGGAGGCAGGTAAACAAGATGACTCTGCTGACCCAAATATTCTTGAGCGACTTGGAACTCGATGATCACCTGAGTTCGTCGCAGGTGAGCAAGCAGAGGAGATGGAGGTTCGCGGATCTGGAAATCAATCGGACCGTACTTGATCTGGACCAGCACGTTGTCCTCAAACACATCGTCCAATCCTTCAAAGAACTCAACAGCGGCGTTGGCGCGATCATTCTTCCAGTTCGATTCGTCGAGGTGATGGTTATAGACGAAGGCACGGTACATCACAATTCCGTCTCCATGGGGCTTGAGGGCCCTGGCAAACAGATTGGCTCCGTCAGCAAGCGTGCGACCGTACGTTAGCGGACCCGGTTGGCCCTCTGAGTTTGCCTTGATCAGATATCCCAGCATGTCCGGAACCTTTTCGTATAGCTGGGTAGTGATATCGTTCCAGAAGCTCACCACATTCGGGTCTAGCGGATCCGATGTCGACAGGCCGCCAAGTTCGATCGGGGTATCAAAGTACAGTGCAACTCCGATTCTCACACCCCAGGGCCGCATGACATCTGCTATCCGGCCAAGCCCCTTGAGGTTTGTCGGATTCAGAAGGTTGCAGTGCGAATTAACGTTGTTCACGATAATGCCATTCAGCCGAACGGAGGCCATCAGACGCGCAAACTGTGCTACCCTGGTAAGGTCATCCAGAACGGCGCCATCTTTGAAGAAGATGGATGGTCCCGCGTAGCCTCGCTCAATCGTCCCATCCAGGTTATCCCATTGATTCACCCAGCGGATCGGAGCGCTGGGGCTGCTGATGTAGGTCTCCGGACAGGGCTTATCCTGCGCCAGTAGCATCAGGAATTTGAAGGCACCGTAGAGTGCCCCTCGTTCATTCTCGCCGACAATCAACACATGCGCTGGACCATCGTTGCCGTCCTTTTGTGCACCCAACCAGAACCCATCTTCCTTCAATGATGAACACTCTTGGATTGTCTGAATGGCGGGGGTAGCAGATGGGAAAGTATCGACAGTTCCGACCACGATCGCCGATGCAGGAATCTGAGCAGCCTCCGGGAGCGTATTTGTGATGTCCACCTTCTGGCGGAGAATCTTGTTCAAGCCATCTTGGATTTCCTTTCCAGCCGTGTAGACGGGGCTTGACTTGGACTCGCTCAAAGCGACAATCTGCGAAAAGCGGGGATGTTTGACATTTTCAGCAGGTAGAGGCGCGTATCGCAGCCAAGCCTCGAGGCCGTCCTCGAGTGCAGGCATATCGTTGAAGCTTCAAAATGAGCGACGAGGAAAGCAAGGCGGGGATGGTCTCTCTCATGGAGCAGAGGGTTGGGCATTCCATTGTCGCCCAGTCTCTCTGCTTTAAGGCTGATCCAATTCTTGAGAATTGACTCGTCCGGCTAAATTGGACTTGAGCTCTCGACAAGCGCATGACACGCTAGTGGCTGCCTTTTGCCGTTGGAAGCATGTGGACTGCGGAGAAGAGGCGCCGTTCATCCAAGGCAATCTAGGCTACGTCTGGATCTATTCATGATGCGTGAAAATGATCTAAATCATTATAAAGCTTGAGACTCGAGTCAGGTGCTAGAGATCTTGGCGGAAAATGGATGGCTGCTTGGCATGCTTCTTCCGGGGTTCCTTTCGATTTAGCCAGGAAACCCTGAGCTTTGAGTGGTGGAAAGTTGCTGATTAGTTGTTCTCAGTCATACGCCGTCAACGGCAAATGAAGCGTAGAGTCTGTTGGCTTGCGACAAGAGTCGTATCTTTGTTAGTGCCTTCCTCAGTGGGGATGCTATATCAATTTTCTCTTTATCCAAATATAGCCTGGAATGTACCCCGGATGCGGGGTAGCGAAGCAAACATGGATCCATCAGAACGAAAGCCGAGGCTTTGCCAAGAATGCTACATAGAGACATTCAAATAGCTATACAGAGTCTATTCTCATCATGTCACACACATTTGACCTCCCGCGCTCCGTAATTAGCCTGAAGCCTCAGATTAATATTGTACTGCACCTTAATGTCTCCGCTCGCTAAGTTCAGAAGCCGAAGTAAGCATAGCATGCCGTTCCTCAACACTAACCCCATCGTCTACGGATGTTATGATGGAACCGGAGAATTAACAGAGCGAATCAATCTTGCCGCTACGGCTGTTCGTTAAGGAGGACGAGCTCGAGTTGAAATTAAGCGGGCTTACGAAGTTAGGTAGAGGACGCCTTCCTACGGGGTCAACTCAAGCCAACCAAATCAATTATAAATGGGCCTCGTCCGCTGAGAGTAGTCGAACGAGTGCCGAGTCTCTAAAGCAAAGAAATCTCGCAAGATGAAGTCCACTTTCTACTCCCATGCTCTAGGGCTTCTGGGCCTAAGTGAGGTAGCTTTCGCCGTCGCTGCTGCAGCCTCCTCCTCCTCCGTCAAAATCAACGCCGGTGCGAAGTTGCAACATGTAGATGGCTTCGGATTCTCCCAGGCCTTCACGCGTGCCGGTCAATTCCAAGCTGCTGATACCGCGATCCAGAAGCAGGCTCTTGACCTTCTCTTCAGCAAGGAAAGTGGCGCAGGGTTCAGCATCATCCGCAATTGGATACCCTCTTCCTTCGACTACACCATCGAGCCCAACAGCCCTGGCTCGGCCTCCGCTCCTCCCCAGTACCGGTGGGACGGCTGGGACGAGGGACAACTTTGGTTTACCAAGCAAGCTGTCAGCTACGGCGTCAAGACAATCTACGCCGATGCATGGAGTGCACCAGGATTCATGAAAACCAGTGGGAGTGAGGCAACTGCTGGGTAATAACTGCCATATCTTTGACGCTGAGTGCTAGAGGTCCGCCGAGGTCGCTTGATCGCTAACAGAAATACTATCTCCAGTTATCTGTGCGGAACTCCAGGTCACGACTGTGCAACTGGAGACTGGAGACAAGCCTATGCCGACTACCTCGTTCAGTACGTCAAGTTTTATGGGAATGAGGGACTCCATATCACCCATCTTGGCTTCCTGAACGAGCCTGACTTCCGGTGAGTGAGAGAACCTGAGCGCAAGGAGCTATTCCAAAAGACTTACTCTTGCTGATCGTTGCAAAATCTTTTGGTCTCACCTCTAGGGCAAGCTACTCGCAAATGCAAATCAGTCCCAACGCGTCAGAAGCCATTTCCTTCATTCCAGTTCTCCACAAAACCGTCGATACCGCGAAGTTGGATGTGAGCATCACCTGCTGCGATGCCACCGGCTGGGACAAGCAATCTAGCTACACCGATGCCCTGGTAGCTGCCGGTATGGAACATGACCTCGGTGTTATTACTGCCCATATGTACTCGAGTGACGCGACCTACCCACTCAACACCTCTCTACCGACATGGCTTTCCGAGGCTGGTGTCGGAACCAGTGTCGGTGGCTTCGTCCCCACATGGTACAATACCGGTGCACTCAACGAAGGCCTATCCTGGGCCAGTAAGATCGCCAAAGGATTTGTCGATGCCGGCCTGAGTGCTTATCTTTACTGGGAAGGCTTCGAGATTGCCCAGCAGCAGTCCGCCAGCCATCTTCTCGACACTACCGGCACCAACAATACAGTAGTACTGCAATCGGGGATCTTTCATGCCTTCAGCATGTGGTCTCGCTTTGTTCGACCGGGAGCGCACCGTGTCGATACATCCGGGGGTTCCAATCTGGCCAATGTGACCACGGCTGCCTTCCAGAACCAAGATAAGTCTGTGGTGGTGATTTTCACAAACACCGGCTCTGCGGACCAGCCGACTGATCTTGTAGTTCCTGACCACAAGGCTGGAAGCAGTGCAAAGGCTTGGCTGACCGACAACACGCACAAGGTGGAGCAAACTAGTGTCGGTCGCGTTCGTGGTGATTCTATTCAAGTGACCATCCCCGCCCACAGTGTGGTCACTGTCAAGTTCCCTTAATTGTTCTCAGCCTGTACAACGTAATTTGAGCGGTAGGGCTTTCATAGCCCTCGTTGTACCCGCAATGGTTGGATATAACCAATCTCGTTCGCTGAAAACTTGCACATGTATGTACCGTTTCATGTTAGGTATTGTCTAGGTATACTTGAAAGTTGCTTCGTTTCAGGTTGACTTTAACCTTTCAAAATAGCAACACTGGCGGGCGCTGCTCACGTCAACATCCTTTATCAGAGCAAGAGCCATGCGGCTCGGCACAGTGAAGAACAGACGTGCTGCTAGGAAGCACCCGCTCCTCCTTCTCGTAGGCTTTAGGTCACATGAAGGCAAAATAAGCAGAATAACAAGGCCTTGCCGTATCCTCTGTATACCATCACAGCCTACATCCTAAGCCACCATATACCATCAGAGTGAAGGGGCCCCATAGCTGGGGACTAGCCCAGTCCACCATAGAAAGTAGCGATTTCTGGAACTCCAGGCTGTCCCTGCCATTTGGACAACTTTTTAAAAAGTGTCCGTGCAGTCATCAAGATGCTCCGCCTCGTTGCATCTATCTATCAGCTCATCAAGAACGCGTGTAGTCTTCTGCTCTTCCATGCGCATAAACTCAAGCCGGGCCTGTCGCTAGCTCTCTTCAAGAGAGAGCCGATTGTCCCTCTTCAGACTTTGATAGAACATAATCATGAGAATCATGGAGGCAAAGACATTAAACTCAATTAATCCACCTAGATACGCCTGACAGCCTGTACTAAGCACGACGTGCGTGAAACCCACTAGGTCGCTTCCTGATGTGGCCTGGCCAAGTCTACTTAGACAAGCGGCGAAGACGATGAGATTGGCCGTACTGCGGCTCATGGGTAGATCCAAGACGCTGAATTCTTTTGGCAAATGAGATCCATGCAAGCAGCGAGTACTCTGGGTCCGTATATCCGGGTGTGCTGATGCGCAGGATTGACGATAAGCCTCGAACGTGATCTCGGAATTTATCGCGAGATAGGTTCGAACATTCAATTGGCTATTGATGGTCAGTGAAAGGGAGTCCTCATCTAGTCATTGAAGAAGCAAAACATATACCTATGTAGAGAACAAGTTGGCCAGCTGAAGAGCCTCTACTGCCGCCTAGGGAAGCCGTTCTTCCAGTGCGATATCAGGATCATTTGAAGAGTTTCCCCGCTCGTTTAGGCTCTTCGCGAACACCGACATGCTTAGGAATGCCGTTTTTGGTGCTCGTTGCATCAGGTGATACAACGCTGTGAGGCTCGGTGTCTATGACACTGCTGTGTGTTGGATGAGGGGCCGATTGTTGAAGGGCAGCATAGAGAATGGGAATACGTTTTAAGCGCCGAAAGACTGAGGAGATAATATAGCGTTTGTGCTGCAATGTCGAAAGGAATAATGATCGCCTCTACGCGTTTGCTGTAATAGTTACTCAATACACTGTTATGCTTTTGAAACTCCATCTCCCTAGAAAGATACAGTTAACTAGACCTCGCCAAAGACCGCTTGGGACCGGACCAGACCGCGGACCGGACCGCACCATGCAGGGCTTGGTCCTTACTTTTGGGACCGATGGGCGGTCCTAACTTTTTTAGGACCGCACCACTGCGGGGAAAAGGGAACCTTCATGTCATCATATTATTAGAATCCAGGCCCGGACATCCTAGCCAGCTTAGTTACCTCATTCCAAAAGTGCTCCTTGCTGAGTTCCTGTCGGTGCTGTCTCGCTTCTTGCACCCCTATCGGCCAACTGTCCGTTTCCTTGAGGATCCCATCCACTAGTTCCCGAGGCAATCCTGCCGAGGAGGTAAGGTCGTTGCCCACCTCTTGTGCCCACCAGTGGTGCTGTTGTGGCGGAACATTGCGGGTGGAGCACACCCGGTAGTGCGGGTCGACCAGGTACAGCTTGATATAGCGATAATGTCCCGGGCGAGTCGGATCGGCCAGCTGGAATGGTTCGACCCGGTGCTCTAGGACGCTGGGAAAGGTGACCAGTCGCCCCTGCGGGGTCGCGACAGACCCGGTGCACTGGTACGACCGAGTGCCGTGATAATCAATCGAAAGGTCTCTCCATGAGAACCCCAGGATCGCCGTTAGAGCCCCATACTCCTTTTCCCTGGTTCCGTACCGGTGGGCTGGTAGATTACGCCAATCGTAGTCCACGCCTGCTTTATATCGCTCCTCAGAATATTGATAAAAGCATCCGTGAAGGGAGGTGTACTGGCGAAATGCGATGCGGGCCTTGGTGATATTGACCACGTCATATGCGAAGACGGCCACAGCTGCGATATGCTGGTTTAGCTGGCCTTCGAGCTGCCACGTATCGCTAGAGTAGTTAGGGGTCTGAGGGGTGAGCTCGATGTTCTCCATCTTCACGATGACCTGTAGACCTTGCTTCCGAAAGATGTCCTGGAGAGTGATTTTATAGGGGGTGTGGGGTGGGATGACGGGCTGGAAGGGCCGCCCATGGGTTGGCCAGTTTTTCCGATGGCGCACAATGTCGATAATCGCTTTATCGTTGTGCCGGCCAGCCTTCCAGTCCTCATATGAAAAGGCAGTCCCTGGCTCCGGATGCTTGAAGCGTATCACCCGCTTCACTTTTTGCCTCAACATGTCCCACGGCGACTTTAGCCCCTGCGCCCAGTCGTCGGGGACCTTAACCGGGATATTCGATTCATCCTCCGGGAGCTCAAGGTACTCCTTGGCCTTCTGCCACAGGTCCGAGTCCGGAGGAGGCAACTCCATATCTTCTTTGCCTGCAACATGCGTGAACATGGACAGCTCTTTCTGCGCCTGCAGGTACTTCTTCCTACCCTTCTCTGTCGGATCATCCTTGCTGCTCTGCAACATTTCCTGGGCTTCGTAGTACTGCCGTTTCTCGCTTTCCGAAGGTACCCTAAACGCGAGGGCCCATTCCGGAAGTTTATTCACCCATTCAACCCCGTGTGTGATGATTCGTAGAGGAACAGGGCCCAGTTGTCCATTATTCATATCATTGTGCCAACCACGCTGTCCCTTCACCAGACAATCGTTCCACGGCTTGATTGCTAGGGACACGAGTTTCTCGATGGCCTGGTACAGCCCCTGGTGGGCTGGATGTAAGTTATTAATGTATGAGGTAATATGCACCTCCGTTCCAGACTCTTGGAGGAACTCCACCTCGCATGGAAGACATTGGTAGTTCGAGCTCCAGCAATAAAACTCGGACCTTGACCCTCCATGAGCATGGGGGAAATCCCCATCGAGAAATCACGACTGTCATCTATAAGCTTCTGCAAATCCTGGGCGTCCACCCGTCTGTCGAAATGTTTTGGCGCGACTGTCGCATTGTTGTAGGAGCCCAGGATGTTGTGTAGGTCCACTTTCCCTCCGTCGGTTAAGACCAGACTTTTTCCGTATGTCAAAGGGTATAATAACGGATCGACGAGGTGTAATATCCGGCTTGACGACCGCCGATATAGATTCCCTTGCTCCTGCTCCTTCTCCTCATCCTCCTCCTCCTGCTGCTGCTGCTGCCGCCGCTCCAGAAGAACGGGAAGAACCTCCCGCCTAAACGCCTCGCTGAGAGAGCTTAGGGTTGCCGTATCCGATTTACATACGCAGGAACCTATGTCCAACACCCGAACATGTGAATTTTGTTCGCGGAAATAGATAGCTTTATCCTGAAGCTCCTTTACACACCAAGCCCACGCCCTTTCGCTCATTAGGGGCGTGCTAGCGAAGGCCTCTTTTCGCCACTCGTCCACGACAACCTGCTTGTTGAAGATATCGAGATGCCAGTCCGGCCGGTCGGTGAGTTGGTCCATCACAGCGACCATGGCCAACTCGCGGGCTGTCACTGCGGGGGCTTGTCGCCATTCCACTATGCCGTGCGCAAAGCGCGCGTCGCATGGGAGTTCATAGTGGATGGGGATGTCGTTGAAGCCAGGGACTCGGAGCGAGTTGTGGCCGCTGTTGTCGAAGGTAATGATGGGGAAGGAGAAATCAGATTGTTCGTCTGTTTCATTGAAGGTGTCGTCCATCATTGTATCTGATGGGGTGAAGTATGTATGAATCTTTGGAAAAGTTAGTATTAGTCGCTGTCATGGCGTAGCCTGATAGGTAGTTGCGTAACTATGTATATTGGTCCTGGGCATGCCAAGGCGGTTGACATCGTGGCCTTTTGGCTAGAGAATGATCACGTGACCTATATGAATAGTGCTTAGTTCGACAATAGTCGTCGTCCACCAATCTAACCCTAGAGGGTTAGTCTCTGGGTGGCACTACCACCATTCTCAGCAGACGGCATATTTCTTTCACCCCTCTCATCCCACCAAAGGTATAGCGCAATGGCTAGGATCAAAAACGAATGGAAGACTCCGCGTCCCCGATGGGTTGCAAAACATTACCGAGAGTATGCAGACCAGCCTTCGGTTTTGTCAGCACATGAAGGGATAACTTACCGCTAGCGACTGATTGGTTGCTTATGGGCCCACATTCGTTTAGTATTTCCTATGTAATCAGGGAGCCAAGCTGCAATGCGGCCATTGTCACAGCTGAGTCCGGAGATATCAGACACATCGAATAGCGGTGTGGCTAAGTGTGTGCTTTTAACAGCGCTTCTCCTCCCATCTTTCTACTGAATCAATCAATGTTATTCATCTATATTGGTTCCGCTTGATATTATTCGTCGTCTCTGCATACTAGGCTGTACAGTATCAGCTTGCACTGATATGTTATTATTTCATTACTGAATGCGTAAGACCGCTGCCTGCCTGCATACTGTGATTTCCTGGCTGCGGGGTTTCTGACCCAGCAACGGAATATGGATTCCGCCTAAAATGTAACGCCCTGCAGGCCAGGTCAGTGGTGTCTGTTATTGCAAAACCGAGACGATGGTTTTAGTGATTTCCCTCCACGTCTCTTGGTTGTTTGAGGAAGTATTGAAAGGCTACAAAGCTCTTCTGATCCACATAGGCCAGAACAGCCTTGATTTATCGCCGTGAACACACCCCTACCATATCAGCACTACATTTTTTGGGCGAGTCTGGTGCTACAAATTGTAAGTGTTGTTAAACGTCACCTTTGAAATAACGAACCAGAAATATTCATAATAGTCCTAGGGTTGACAGAATAGTAGGGAGCCACTGTTGGAGTCCAAATGTCACAAAAAGCATTAAACAATGACCTGAAATTGTCGGTTCCAGGTGATCTGACTGACGTCTCGAATAAAAGCGAAGAATCAGCGAACATAGAGGATCCAAAAGAGGTAGTCCGACACATTCAGCGAGTCGTCGACACTGTCCCAGACGACTATCCCGGTCTACCAATCTGGTTGAATAATCTGGGGGTCAAGCTCTTAACTCGATATAATCGAACTGGAAATTTGGACGACCTACAGAATGCAGTTCAACACGCCCAGAGAGCCCTCAAAATTATCCCAGAAGACCACCCTAATATTGCGTCCTGGCTGACTAGCCTATCTGTGATATTAGTGACTCGATATGGTCGAATAGGAAACTTGGATGATCTAGATAGTGCAGTTCGGCTCGCTCAAAGAGCTGTCGACACTACCCCAGAAGAAGAACATGCAGATCTGGCATTCCGATCAATGATTCTAGCAAATCATTTCTCAAACCGATATCGTCGAACAGGAAATTTGGATGATCTACAGAATGCAGTTCGGCTCGCTCAAAGAGACGTCGACACTATTCCAAAAGGCCACCCCGATCTGGCATTCTCGTTAAATAATTTGGCGAACATCCTCTTAACTCAATATGATCGAACTGGAAACTTGGGCGATCTACAGAATGCAGTCCGACACGCTCAGAGAGCCCTCAACACTGTCCCAGAAGACCATCCCGATCTAGCATCCTGGTTGAATAATCTGGCAGTCAAGCTCTTATCTCGATATAACCGAGCTGGAGATTTGAACGATCTACAAAATGCAGTCCAATACGCTCAGAGAGCCATCGACAATACTGCAGAAGATCACCCTAATATGGCATCCTGGTTGGCTAGCCTATCTGTGATATTAGTGACTCGATATGGTCGAATTGGAAAATTGCATGATCTAGATCGTGCAGTTCGGCTCGCTCAAAGAGCTATCGACGCTACCACAGAAGATCACCCGGAGATAGCATCCCGGTTAAACAATCTAGCGAACATGCTCTCAGCTCGGTATGATCGAACTGGAAACTCGGATGATCTACAGAATGCAGTCGGCCACGCTCAGAGCGCCATCGACACTACCACAGAAGACCACCCGGAGCTAGCATCCCGGATAAACAATCTAGCGAACATGCTCTCAGCTCGGTATGATCGAACTGGAAACTCGGATGATCTACAAAATGCAGTAAGCCACGCTCTGAGTGCCGTCGACACTACCCCATGGCATCCCATTTAAACAATCTAGCGAACATGCTCTCAGCTCGGTATGATCGAACTGGAAACTCGGATGATCTACAGAATGCAGTCAGACACGCCCAGAGAGCCGTCGATACTACCCCGGAAGACCACCCTGGTTTACCATCCTGGTTGAATACTCTAGCAATCAACCTCTTAACTCGATATAACAGAGCTGGAGATTTGAACGATCTACAGAATGCGGTCCGACACGCCCAGAGAGCCGTCGACATTACCCCAGGAGACCACCCTGATTTAGCATCCTGGTTGAACAATCTAGCGAACAAATTCTTAGCTCGATATAGTCAAACTAGAGACTTGGATGATCTTGAAATGGCCGTCCAATACGCTCAGAGAGCTGTCGACACAATCCCAAAAGACCATCCCAAGGCAGCATCCTGTTTGAGTAATCTGGCGAACACGCTTTTAACTCGATATCAGGAGACCCATGAGCTTAAAGACAAAGACGCATCGTTCAAGTTCTTCTCAGAAGCCTTTGACTGCCACAACGCAATGCCTCTCGAGCGCATCAAAGCTGGCCGCGGAGCGATGAATATTCTTGTTTGGGACGGTGATTTTCAAACAGCTAGTTTGCTGGCAGAAAAAGCATTGGGTCTCCTACCTATCGTATGCAGCCGTTACCTCAGTCGGGATGACCAACAGCATGCTATTCTTCAGACATCCGGGCTGGCTGCCGAAGCTGCCTCTCTTTTGCTTCGAACCCAGAAAAATGCAAGCCAAGCCCTGCAGTACCTAGAGCACGGTCGAGGTCTTATTATTGGATACCTCATCGACAGCCGTGGTGACATATCGGATCTAGCCAAAAACCACCCCAACATGGCGAAGGAATTTAATCGGCTTCGGTATAAGGCTTTTATGTCTATTAGCCCCGAAGACCCGGCTGAGATTCGCCGGCAGCGGTTACGGGAGCGTGATGACGCTGTGGCAGCTTTGGAATGCTGTCTTAAGGATATCCGTAAACAAGAGGGCTTTGATCGATTCCTTCTTCCCCTTCCTTCTACCGCATTACAAGAAAACGCTATCGACGGTCCGATTGTGGTTGTGAACGTCACCTCGATCAGTAGCGATGCCTTGATGGTTCTTCCTACAGAGATCAGACATATCCCATTACCCGACTCTCACTCAACGAAGGTTGAGTATTACCGTTCGTTAGGGTTAGCGAGGGGCTTATTTAGGCTGATTGAGTTGGACGGCCGTGAAAGCCTTGATAGTCAGTTTCAAAATCTATTGCGCTGTCTATGGTCGGACTGTGTCCGCTTAGTTCTCCAGGAACTAAATTTTCTTTGCCCGCCCTCTCGCAGTGAGCTCCCTCGGATTTGGTGGATTGGCACCGGCCTAGCTAGCTCTCTTCCGTTCCATGCGGCGGGCGATCATTCGGCGGGCTCAGTTGAGAATGCTTTCAGTTGCGTTCTTTCTTCCTATACACCGTCAATCAAGATGCTACGATACGCAAGAGATAGGGCACAGGTCCAGCCAGATACGCAGTCGGTCTTACTAGTGATAATGCCTAAGACTCCCGGCGGAGACGACCTCCCGGGAGTGATGGCAGAGGCCAAGGCGATCCAGGAGACCATCACTACGCCGTATACCGTGCAATTATTTGATCAGCCTAGCGCAGAGGTAGTGCTTCAAGCTCTCCGAGATTGCAGTATCTCGCATTTTGCATGCCACGGATGGTCAGATATACTAGATCCCTCAAATAGCTACCTTGCTTTGCAGGGGCAGTCTAACTCGATACCTGATCGCCTTACGGTCCAAAATATCTCCGAGACCCATCTTGGGCAGGCGCGGCTAGCATACCTTTCGGCCTGCTCCACAGCTGAAAACCGAGTTTCCAAGTTAGCAGATGAAGGCCTACATCTTGCAAGCGGTTTTCAAGTCGCGGGCTTTGCACACACAGTAGCGTCGATGTGGCCTTCCAACGATGAGATTTGTGCGCAAGTGGCAAGTATTTTCTATCGTGAGCTCATTGTCAAGGGTGGGTTGCGAGAGGGCAACCGGGCTGTGGCAGTGGCGTTCCATGCGGCTGTGAAGGAGGTCCGCATGCAACACGCAGAGCAGCCACATCAGTGGGCCCAATTTGTTCACTTTGGGGCATAGAAAATCTCATGCACTTGTAAAATCCTCCTATTAACTTAAGAGAGTCCTGCCCAATTCAGTACGTAACAATGAGTATTAGCATTTGCAGCCCTAGAAAGCTGGTATCAGTGCACGCTGATACTGTATAGCCTAGTATGCGAAGACGACGAATGATATCAAGCGGAACCAATATAGATAAATAACATTGATTGATTCAGTAGAAACATGGGCGGAGAAGCGCTTGTTAAAAGCACACACTCAGATACACCGCTATTCGATGTGTCTGATGTCTCCGGTACTCAGCTGTGACAATGGCTGCATTACAGCTCGGTTCCCTGATTACATAGGAAATACTAAACGAATGTGGACCCATTAGCAACCAATCAGTTGTTTGCGGTAAGTTATCCCTTCATCCACTGACAGCTGGATTGCCCTTTTGATAAGCTGTCAGCAGGCATTGAGTGGGTTCTGGTGTATTTCACGACTTTTATGCTCTTGCGCTAGTATGGTGATTAACCGTGATCGACCTAGAGCACACGACTAGTGCCCTAACCCAGGCTGGTCGATGCACGAAGCAGTGTTTGCCACGTGATGTAGATTAGTCACCTCACGGATTTTAGTTACGCCGGACAGGATGTTCAAGGGCTACGTAGCTGCAGGCTGCAGGTCGGCTGGACAGCGGACAAACCTCACCTGGACAGCGGGGGCCCCACTTCCCCGATCGGGTTAGACCGGAGGTCAGAAAATCAAGATTTCTGAAATCTTCGTACGAAACGCTCCTTCGTCGCCAACTGTTACGATGATGGAAAAGAGCCAACTGGAAAGATAACCAGGTGCATTCAACGAAACAACGAAGGTGAAGCAGGAAGAAACTACGGAGGCTCTCAAACAGGCCCCATCAGGTTAGCTCGGTTAGGTGTTTCCATCACTCCACGTCCATCAGGTGATCTCCGTCTATCGTTCTGTTTATGCGTCACAGCTAGAAAAAAAACCTAAGACACTACGCCAAACCTTTTTCCCGCCCCCTCTCCAAGCCGATCTTTCGGACATTGAGGGATACGTATACCCGTCACCTATTGAATGCCCAGATATCACTATTCCATCCATAGCCGCTAGACCGTGGTCTTGAGACCACTGTTCTGGGTCACGGGGCCCAAAGCTTAAGCCTTCCCACCACAGCTTCACAACCACGGACACGTATCTCCAGACTTGAAGCCTTCCTGGACACAGTTAGGAGATTGCGTACTATATACGTAGTATAAGTTGATGCATTATCATGCATAAAAATCGCATCAGACCGATTCGATAGGATCGTAGGAAGGGAGGTTGAATAGGTTGAATGTATAACGTTCGAAGTTACACCACCGCGCGCTGATTCAAGATCTCCATGCATAGGAGTTAGGCCAGTTCGCCTAGTATCGCCATTAAAACATGCCCAAAACATCTGGCGAAGCTGTTTACCACAAGGTTTCTGATGAATCTCGCCCTCTTTTCCTTGGTGAATTGGCCGAACGAAGGTCCATTCAGCGCCTGCGCCCGAACCACGTTCAATTGAGGTTTCATCAGAGAAATAAACCCGAGACCAATCTTCCGGTGTAAAATTACGATATCTCTCGGCCCATGTAAGGCGATTCGTTGCGTCGATTTCGGTTAACTGAGGTCGAGTAATCTTGCGCCATTTCCGTAGACCAAATTCCTTCAATAGATCTCGTAGCGTACGTTCGCAGATTTTATTATCCACTAAATCGAGAAGCTCACGGTATCGGCAGCTTGGTTTTTGTTGAATATAATCGTAGATCATATCACGCTCTTCTTCAGAGAGATTTCTCGGCCGACCGGTACGTTTGCACGAATCGTTCTCTCTACCATGAATAACCTCAAGCTTGCAGGTCGAGACGATTATGCTTCGTAGGATATGGGGGAAGTGGCTAGCGATTTGGCCATAGGAGAGCTTCGCATCGGTACGAAGGCTGCAGATTCGCGATCGTGTAGAGGGTGACAGTTCTGGTCCTCGAGGCATATTGATTAGTGGTGGTTGAATAGAAGGGGTAACTAGCCTACCTGTTGCATAGGGGGTGATTGTTTATTTTGATGGTTGTTTTGATGGTTATTTTGATGGTTATTTTGATGGTTATTTTGATGGTTACTTTGATGGTTATTTTGATGGTTGGCAGGGTGGCCAGGTAGGTAGCTTAAATTAGTAGGCGGTAAAGTAGGCGGAGGAAAGGGTGTGTGAGAACTTCTTGCCTGGCACTGTATCTAAAAATACGTTTCACGATTTTACGATAAGCTAAATTAAAAACAGACTAGCGTGTTTCAGAATAGAATCGAAAGGAATCAAGCGGTAAAACTGATTACGAGCAGCCCTGTACCACGTTGTCTTTTATTGACGAGCGAGCTTTCTAGTCTGGGCCTCAGTGTTTTAAATAGCGGCTGTGATATTGTCCCCTTTGACAGCCACACACCCCATTTGCATCTCAATGGATCTTTCTCAACTTCCGGACATCACCAGTCTGCTTGTCAGGCCAGATAACCCTCCACGAGATGATCTCGAAGGAATGGACTACGCACGATGTGCAGCTCTACACAACTACCTGATCCAATATGCCTGGCTCGCTGAAGGCCGCCCACTAGCAACTCTGAATGCCAACAGCAACTTTTTCACGGCCTTCGGTGATGAAGCTGAAGCTGAGGCTTGTCGTCCAAGGCTTGATCCGTCACTGGCGGCGTTCCTTGACACCGCTATAGTGTCTCCTTTTCCTTATGATAATCCTCACGAGTACCTCCCATTCTCTGTTTTTGCATGGGGTATCGATGGGTCAGAAACACTTTTTGAGGAATTTACAGCTGATATTCACGATCAGCCCGTTGACAGCCTGGTGCGCTTGTACGCTGTGGAAACGAGCTTATCGGCTGAGGGCAGTGGTGGCGGGGTCATCTACCACCAAGGCTTCCACCGCGTCGCGACCTTCATGCATCTTGATGACTATGGCTATGGCTTTCCAGTTGAGGCTAATTCACACGTTTGGAACCCCCTAGAGACACTCCTCACTAATTGGATCGACCTTATTTATATTGGAAAAGTTGTGGCTTCGCCTCATAAAGAGCCAGCCTTATTTGACTTCGAGAAGATCGGGCCCTGGGAGTGGCGGCCCTATAGCGATTCCCAAGTTACTACGTGTGTCGCTGAGTGGGATCGACTGTGTCAGGCTATTGAGGCGCGTACCTCGCAGCTGCCAAACCCACTATCACTGATCAGCCCTATTTCCGAGTCTGACGCGGACAATCCAGAGCCATTGGTCGCATCAACTATCCTAAACGCTGCTTCAGTGCCCAACCCTTCCTTTGCACGTGCGTTTCTGACGCGCGCGAGAAGGCCCCAGTTCCGCTACATCGCTCCAGGCCTTCTCTTGCCACCGGCTGACTCGGCTGGATTTACGGCAGCGCAGCCATTTAGCGTATTACCCCGCTCTGAGTACACTGCACCGCCAGTGTGTCTTTTCCCGGCTGATACCGGAGACCACCGTCCTATCCAGCTCACGAGAACGACAACTCCATTTTTATTGCCGGACTTCTATTCAAGGTCTACCGAAACTTGTACACCATCTCGCGTCTCTGCAGGCCTGTATACTGAGGCAGTGGAGAGAAACGGCCGTGACGTGGCCGAGGAGGGATTTCGGCTATTGCTCCCGTTCACCTTTAATGATAAGAGGGACAAGAGCGTGGCCGCACGAAAAAGCGATGGGTCCCTTGTTGATAGAGGACGCTTTTCAGAGCTCTTTCAGCATGGATATAAGCCTTTTGGCGGTGACTACTACCGCTCCCAGCGGCTGGAGCGTTTGCTGGGTTATTGGCGCAAACTGGTTGAAAAAGGCGTCTGGTCTGTTGGGGCGGATGGGGTAGAAGGTACTATCGATACTTTTAAAGATGCTGAGTCCGACCGCTGGGAGGATTATTATATCCCAGCCACGTGGTAGGTATACCAGTGCCATCCCGCCTTCAATCCGGAGACGATTTCCGAGCACTTGGGTTCTATCCTACGGAGATGGAGGTACCAGGGCCGAAGACGGATATACAATTCCATAACAAGCCAGTCACGAGGATGGCCATTTTCCTAACCGATTGTGATTTATTCGATTGTGATTTATTTACAATTTTAGTGTCGATACTTCCATTTTATCCATACATGTGTGTTTCCAACCCAGCCAAAAGCGCGTCAGATCAGATAATATATTCATAAACCCCCATAGCTTCCAAGGATTCGTTCATCATTGTCACCTGGGCATGTTTGATGCTGTCAAATGTGACGCATGACAGAACGATAGACGGAGATCACCTGATGGACGCGGAGTGATGGAAACACCCGACCGAGCTAACCTCATGGGGCCTGTTTGCATAAGCCCTCTACAAGATAGTTGCTAGAGCCTCCGTAGTTTCTTCCTTCTTCACCTTCGTTGTTTCGTTGAATGCACCTGGCTATCTTTCCAGTTGGCTCTTTTCCATCATCGTAACATACAACGAAGGTCGTCTTTCACCCTTTTCTGTCGCTGTTGAAGCCGTACAGACACGAGCAGCTCGCTGCCGCCGTCTCGCCTCTCAGTGACGCCCCACCCTGAACCGAAACCGACGAATCCTGATCGATTCCGATTGAACCGAACCGAACCTTCTTTCCCCTGCCAAGACAAGCCGACGTCATAGCACGAAGCCGTTCAACGATCCGACGCCGTCAGAGCACCGCGTCCGACGATCCCGAAGACCAGCATCCAGAGAACCTGGCAGAAGATGAAGAAGTGATCGCCAGCGGAGAGCCTACTGAATGGCGAGGGCTGGACGAACCGATCTCTTTTCCCTCTGAGGGAGACCTTGACCTTGATTTCATCAAGAATCATACGCCTGAACAACTCTTTGACCTCCTCCGCCGAGAGTGCCGCGAAATTCGAACTCTTACTAACCAGCGGGATGCTATGAACGCTGAATATGGGGAGGCATAACGGGATCTCGAGACTGTTACCCTGAGGGCT